GAATTTGTTAGAAATGAAGTACATTGTGGCTTATACTGTGCATGAGGGTACAAACCATTTTACTAGTAGGGCAACTGTACCCCCCACCATGGCGCTGCCACTGCTGCTAATGGCCGTTTAAGTATTCGTTTTTTTCAATGTGGGCCTCGAATGGTGTGGACAAAGCTGTAAATATACAGCTGATAAGACTTTGAATATTGGAACTGTAATTTTACTTCCACTTTTACTTTTATCTTACATTTCGTTAGATTTTATGTAAATATCTAGACAAATATATCCCTTATCGTACATACTATAAGAAGTCTTTTTTCGTAATTTTTCAATGATTTACCGTTAATTAAGTTAAGAAATATTGAGTCATATGTATGCGTACTTGAAATTTGAAACCATATAATCAATGTTATAGTGTCACACACCCATTTCGTGATGCTCTGACTTAAACATAAGTATTATTTTGAATAAATAGGATATATTTTATGTCTAACGTATAACTTACTTTTACACATGATTTTACAAAGCTCCTGCTTTATTTATTTATCGATTTCTTTAAAGGGATTGTAAAGAGGTTTTTTAAATTCTGTATGCGTATCGGGAACAGTGATACCTTTACTTTAGATATCTAATCTATATTAAAGATACCTATTCCAACATATAACTCTAGATGGTATATATTCTAACATATGATTTAAGATATCCCCACCTTTTCCGCAACTTCATGGTAACATAATGGTATCTATTCCAACATATGATTTAGATATCTAATTTAACATAATGACTTCATGATAACTTATCTAACCTATGAATTCACGATATCCCTCAATCATATAACTGCATGATATATACCTGAGCATTTGATGTTGTAAATGTATGTTAGATAACTTATATTATGCCTTTTTACGGACATCATACCCAAATATTATACGTATCTTAAAACATCACACTCACACACCACGCTCACCTTCTTTCAGCTAAGTTTGTTTGTAATATCGTTTATGTGTCATTTTCAGGCTATCAAGTTTATTTTAACCACATCAAACTGTCATTCTATTAGGAAAGTTTGCATGATTGTTCGATTTCTATAGATGTTGATGATTTGGACCGACTGCTGGTCTGATGTTAAACGTCTTGTAAACGAATGTATCTAAATCCGAATGACAAACAAAAGATTTTTGTTGAACGGCCGTGACCAATAGTAAACATAGGGGTAACTAAGCTGTTTGATTTTATCACGGTGTAAGGCCAGTTTGAAATAAATAATTACACGAAGTTGGTAACAGATAAGAAGCGTCCAAGGTTTTCTCTCGTGATTGTAACAATCTCAGAGGTGTGGTTAAAATTGTTGAAAAGTTTTTTTATAATTAAAGAGGTTGATCCACAAATTATCATCAGGAGCTGTTTAAATTTTTAGGAAGTTGTCCTCTGTAGAAACTTTACCAGCTGATAAATCGATTTGACCTTCACGGATTTGATTCCTTTTCATATTTTTCTTGAAATAATGAACTTAGATAACTGAGGTTTTATCAGTTTGTGTGAATTCCGGGAATGCTAACACCCGCAACAAAACTCTCTTCATTTTTTTTACTGAACGACGGTCACATTTCCTCATATAAGTTCTCAAATCTACTGATTTTAATAGATTTAATGAAAAAAAAACCCCATAGAATCAAGTTCGAATTTCTGAATTTAACCTTTGTGATATCACATATTTAAAATTTAACATTTCATAGCCCATTTTCAGCATCTTTTCGCAGTAGGGAAGATAAGAATTAAAACCGACACCAGTTTGTAAATATATGATCCAAAAATTTGAGTAAATTGAAAAGTATGGCATTTTGTGAGGATTAACCGCCGTTTTTGTGAATGTTTTTCAACTCATTTTCATTCAAATTGGCATGTAGGTATTTGTGAAAACAATAAAGATCAAGTACGCATTCAAGAAGTTAAAGTTCACATGTTGAAATGGGTCTATTCAGATGTGTTCTGTTCCACTCATCTTTCTCCAAGGCGGAGATTGCCTTCAGAAATGAACAAATCCACACAAAAAATATTTCTGTTCACGATAACAAAAGAAATCGATATGTTGTTTTGACCCATGAAAACGAAATACGTGTATTTTGATACTGTGCCACTTCACAACAAAATAGAAACTTGGGATGAAATCTGTTTAACCTGAGTTTTGGTCACATTTTATGAGATTCCAAAGATGAGATTTATCCACAGGTACTGTGTATTTGTGTTCGAAAGTTTCCTATTCTATGTCCCTAAGTAAAATTTGATCGACACCCCAATATTGCTGTACATGGATTAACAACATCTAGTGACGTCATCCTCCTGCTATGGTGGGACTTACAATATTACTGAAGCCCTCTCATTTGATATCAAATGGACACGCTACCTGTAAATTGTATGTTATCCGGAGATTTAAAGTTTCTGGAACTACTGCAGACACCAGAAAATACTATCAAACGTAATGTCTAGCTGACTGATCGCCGGGTGATTTGACCTCTTTTGTCATTACCAGAATACCTATCTTCCATCATAATTCCTTCATCGGTTTTCAAATAATAGAGAATTACAAAAAGTAAGTCTATCTCACTGGTTGATTATCTGACCGAGTCTTAAAGGCACGAGTTGTGCCCCTTAGCAAAGGAGTGTTGATAAGTGAGATAAACACTTTCCCCTCTGGTTTTTATACGCCCACATGAAATGTGAAGTGTATATTGTCGTCACCCATGTTCGTCCGTCCGTCCACAATTGCTCGTAAACACTCTGTAAGTCACAATTCTTGACTGATTTTGACGAAACTTAGTATTAAATAACGGAATACAATTTCATGGTATACTACTCAGGTGAAGTGAGAAAACTTAGTATGATTGTCTGTAATCACCCAAGAATGAACCCTATTAAAATAAGAAAAATCGAAAAATATTTAGTATGAGTTATTGCCCTTGTTCTTGAAAATGCGTTCAAGTTTAGCTTGTAAACACTCTAGAATGTTCAATTATTGCCAGATTTTGACGAAACTTCGTGTAAATGTTTGTTACCACCCAAGGATGAACCCTATCGAAAATCAGAAAAATCGAAAAATATTAAGTATGAGTTATTGCCTTTGTTCTTGAAAACGCGTTCAATTTGTAGCTCGTAAACGATCTAGATGGATGAATTATGGACAGAGTTTGACGAAACTTGGTGTGAGTGTTTGTTACCACCCAAGGATGAACCCTATCCGAAAATCGAAAAAATATTTAGAATGGGTTATTGCCCTTGTTCTTGAAAACGCGTTCAGTTTTAGCCCATAAATAATCTATAGAAGGCACAATTCTTGGTGGATTTTGACGAAACTTGGTATGAGTGTATGTAATCAACCAAGGATGAACCCTATCGAAAATCAGAAGAATCGAAAAATATTTGATTTGAGTCATTGCCCTTGTTTTTAAAAACGCGTTATAGTTTTAGCCTGTGAACACCCTAGAAGGTAGACAGATTTTGACGAAACTTGGTAATAATTATGCAGTGTCGAGTGTCGCCCCAAAAAGTTGAATATTTCATACTGGTAATTGTTACTGCCAAATATTTTTGTTTAAAATCAAAACTGCCAGTGGGTGTATATTACCTTGCCTGACAAGCTATCTTTGTGATATTTAAAACCCTTTCCCTCGGGATGCGTAATTTTTATTATCATAAAATCCCTTTGCCGTGTTTTGTCCTGTACATTGGGGAACAAAATATGCAGCGGGCGTCACGTAAATACGTTGGTTCATACGTTATTATTTTGTACTTTAGATAATAGTCTTTATTTATACTCCTTTTGATTCATACTTCAGAGATTTTTTTAAAGGTTTGAGTATTAAGATTTAAACTAGATTTCCTTTCATATCAAAAATACCTTTCACCATCAAGTACACACAGTTCAAATATGTAACTCGTATCCTTTATAAATGTCATCAGAGATTAATGAAACAGGATGAAAACAAAACATGACTCCTGTATTAATCAACTTCGCAATCTTGTTCAACTGATACTCTGGCACTCAATTATACTACATTGTATAGGGTGCACTTCTTAATTACAAGTTCGAGCAAACTAATTTGGCAATCCATCACAATAAATGCAATTTGTTTTTATGACATACTGTGACTGTGCCCACAGCTGATCTCGGTCTCGGAGAAAATCGTCTGTCATATTGGTATAATACTATTCGTATTAGTATTTAAACTCCTATTTGCACCGTACGCATTTCTAGTCCTATATCTTCTATAATTCCAGAAAAGCTTTACAAAAGTATTACCGAGTTAAGTTGCATCAGCTTAAATGGTATTTGCTATCGTGTTGTTATATGGCCGTGTTGGTATTAATTCTATCGATAGTTTACCCAAAAACTACAGAAATATAAACCACCAAATTAATGTATGTCTGTCATGCTCAGATCGTTCGTGTAATTCCATCCATGTTAGAAATGTTCTTATGTTTAACTGCGTCAAGGTGTTATGTGGAGTGTATAAGACTACCGGACCAATAAATAACATACATTTATTACATGTTCCACAGACTGGCCAGTGTTTTCTCAATATTGTCTCTTACAAGGCAATTATAGTTCTTAACACTATAAGATGAACAATATCTTCTAAAATAAAAAAAAACAGTCAGTCTTTTTAAACAGGATTTTCTCAAAAAATTGAACGATTGTCCACAAAATAAATGCTCATACTCATATTATCCTTAGCCTTCAATTGGTTTCTAACTGTTCACTCTCTAAATAGTAGGAGTAGAAGACATATTTCTCTACAATTTGGCCTTTGTTTTGCTTAATTCCCTATATCAGTTTTGTAACACCAACCCCAAAAATTAAAACATAGTGATTTTAAAATGTTTACTTAAGCATTTTATTTCGGGACTAAAAATGTAACTTGTACCTTCTTTGCAATGCTCTTGAATTTTAAACAAAGCTACTATAGTAACTGTATCTTTACTAGTTAGGCAAGCTAACTTTCAAACATGGAATGAAGCAAACCCGTAAAGCTCTAAATTATCTTTTTCTTTTATCAATTTCAGGAAGCATATTGGAAGAGAGTCAAATACAAACCTTAGTATCACTAACTACAATACCATCGTATTACACCAGCACTACATTAACAGCCTTTCAAATTGCACCAACCAGCTATCTGGTGCTACCGGAGTCATACGTACCACAAGTGACAAGTGGTGCACTACCTCAAAGTTCAGAGCAATCTTCATTTAGGCCAAGTAACACTATCAGAAATATCGCTTCGCTAAACATAAATTTGAATAATCGAGGTTCACAATCTTTTTCTGTAGATTCTGACTCGGTAATATCTACAAGTGAATCGCGTGCATTCCCCGAGGAAAGTTCGGCTAAGTTATCAGGAATACTAGCAATGCAATCATTTGCATCGTCAGGTACAGTACGAACATCACAAGTATTAGATTTGATGCCATCAGTAATAAATATGATATCATCAAATATAGTACCAACGTCATCAGTTAAAGATGTGATGTCGTCAAATATCGAACCAACGTCATCACTTAAAGATTTGATGTTGTCAAATATAGAACCAACGTCATCACTTAAAGATTTGATGTTGTCAAATATAGAACCAACGTCATCACTTAAAGATGTGATGTTGTCAAAAATAGAACCAACGTCATCACTTAAAGATGTGATGTCAAATACAGTATCACCGTCATCAGTAATAGGTGAGATGTCGTCAAATATAGCACCAACGTCATCACTTAAAGATGTGATGTTGTCAAATATTGCACCAACGTTATCAGTTATAGATGAGATGTCGTCAAATATAGCACCGACGTCATCACTTAAAGATATGATGTTGTCAAATATTGTACCAACATTATCAGTAGTAGATGAGATGTCAAATATTGTACCAACGTCACCAGTAATTAATGTGGTGTCGTCAATGGTAGATCTGATGTCATCAGATAAAGTTCCAACGTCATCATTGGTAGATCCGATATCATCAGATATAGTGATAAAGCAAACAGACTTAGTATCAACCCAGTTCCTGGTAGGATCAACGTTAAATGATATTAGGTTCTCGCCAAGTACATCACAGTTTTCTTCTACAGCAAGCAAATCTGAATCTGTGTTCAATGAAAAATCTTTATTTGAAACTATCACGGATTTATCTGTAATAAATCTAAGCAGTGAGCTTGCAACTTCAACAGACACAAGTTCTGCTTATGTATCAGGTTTTAATAGTGCTCTCTTTTCGTCAGACACCGAAACTGTAGTACCTACAGATGATGTTAGCTATGTAGATTCCAGTCTACTGGACACATATTCCTATATTTCTTCTGAACTACTCGAATCTCAAACACAATCTGATATGACAGCATTCTCAACGTCTGTTTCTAGTGAAATCCTCTTTCCTATCTCCAGTTATATACCAGAAGAAATAGCATCCTCTCTAGCAACACATATCTTATCACTAAGTAGCCTTACCACAGAATCGTCAGCGTATATCGATATACCAGAAACCACTTCTCTTGTGATCTCACCAAGCTCTATTCTTGCTGTTTCATCAGTTACTTCCTCCACCCTAGTAAATGAAACTTTGCCTGTACCAGAAAAAAATACAAGTGGATTAACAAAGGGAGGAAAGGTAGCTCTAGGAATTTGTATACCAATCATCATAATATTAGTTATAGCCGCCATAGTTTTCGTAGCATACAGAAGGTAAGATTTCTAATGAATTATAAAGTGTTCAGTTTTCGTACCATTTATTCTATTATGTAATAAAAGATACGTTATATAAAATGGTAATTAGGATTCAATAAAAATTGGAGTATTTTTATGTATTTTTTTATTTCAAATTTCAATTGGACGGTTTAGATTTTTTGATTTGATTATCTTATATTTAAAATCTGAAAAAAAACACATTTTGAAGATGAATATATTACTCCTTTTTTGTAGACGATACCATACAGCGACATGGAAATTAACCGATGTTGTGAGTTATCGACCCTGGTCCTACAGTAACGCCACCTATTATGATGACGAGGTATGGTGAAACTCCACCTAGAAGGTCCAATTAAAGTTGATTAACTCTTTCTAATTGGTGAGATTTCCTTCTGCTAACAATCTTAAAAACCAAATCTTTTAAACATCTAAATTGAATACGACCGTGTTTGATTTTTTAAATAATCTATGCATGTCGGAAATTCTTACTGAAGTTCATATCTCTGTTCAAGATAAGGTGGACTGCATCATCAGTTATTAACGATGATAACTTTTGATATGTCTACGTCCAATAAAACCTTTCTGGTTTTTAAAATAAAAGATTTGGGTTTTGCTTTTTATCTGGTTGTGGTTGAGATGTTTCATCCTTTTAAAATCCAGGTTGATACATTTAGAGTTATTTATCACTTTGGTTAAATGAGAAAAAATCGGACAACATAAGCTACGAAAAAAGGTGCGAAAAACAGTTATAGGTGGCAAATAAACCTTCTTGATCACTAAGAGCCCCTTTTAGCAGCAGGAGAATATTTTCATTCTTAATCTGATCATTTGGTTGATTAGGTAGTTCCTATTAAGGTGTATTGAAACAATAATATTGTGCTTCATGTTGTCAGCATTTTGTAAACCCTGCAATGCCATCACTTATTGAATTATATTCTGTAGTGGAGTTATTTGTAAAGAAATAGAGGCTAATGGTATCAAGGGAAGGTGCTGAAGTCTCCGGAAGTCAAGATAGTAGGCGATTATGAAATATCTCATCCACAAAAATATTGATGCTTTCCTTCATTTTTCTTCATACTAATACTAGATAGATGGTAACCTCCAACTCTAATTATCTAACGTTTTTATATCTTAATATAATCAAAACTTTGCACACTTAGAAACAACTTCAATTTGCTGACTCGATAATTAATTGTTGTCTGGAAGTAACAAATGATATAAGCCTACTCTCTATTTCTCCCCCTTGTAATGTAGTTTGCTAGATTGTTTGTTTTTGCTGCTTTCTATTTCCATATCTGGTAAGGTATGATTTATAATATATCCACAAGGTCGGTGTCTTAAGTATAAGATAAAACACGGTAGAGGTTTTTATTATGATATTTAAAATCCCACATTCCGAGAGATTTTGAATATCATAAAAACCCGAGTGTTTTATCTGACTTATTAACCGACAAGGGCTCATTTGCTGTTTTATGGTGTTTTTTGTCTTTTTTGTTTTTTTGAAAATAGAATAAAATGAAATGAGAGCCATAACTCTTCCCTTAAAGACCTGTTCAGTTAATCGACCAGCGAGATAGACTTAATATTTGTTATTAGGAAACTTTGACAAATCCTATCATGAGAAATATCTCTATCAATCATAGATAGCTAACGCCGTGGGTCAGTAAGTGATGGTGGATACAAGACCCTACTAAACCAAATAAAAAAAAAACAAAAAAAAAAACAAAAAAAATTTGAAAGTCAGACCTTAAAGCTCATGCGTTGCAACTCGTATCTACGAACGTGGTCAATTCAGTCGACGACCACGACTATATATTTGATAAAGCATTCTGGCGTAACATTTTAGTGTAGGTAGTTCTTCCGGCATTACTTATTTATTATCCACTGGGTGTTATAAATACTATCTAAAATATTCAGGATATTTCGGAAATTTATTAGATATAACATCCCGCCCGAACAATGGGATATCGTCAATAGGGGTATATAAAATAAGTAAAAAAGCTTACAGTATTGTGTCCTGTAAAGAACACTGATAACAAAATTAATACAGCTGAAAAATAAAGACAAAAAAAAATCAAAATATTTTGTCATACCTCATTTTCGGTTTGTCATTTTGTACTCTTGGTACTCACGAGCACAACATAATACTTGGTAGAGTACAAAAGAAATGTCTGCACATTTTAAATTATTGCTGTACAATACCTGCAATTAAAAGTACTATTTCTGTTCCCTTCTTTGTCATCGTTATATTTAAAGTAATAGGAAATGAATGCATTTGTATCTGAACTTAACAAGTGTCAAATCTCTGGAATGGAAATATACTAAAATTGGTCTCTTGGTTTTTCTTGAAATGAATACTGAATGTGTCATCAGTCTTATGCGAGATATTATAAATTGATATATTAATCATACTTTATTTCAGAGTACCTTAATCGTTTCCAGTCTGGATAAATAGGAACTAGTTAAAGATGGACAAGAGGTTTAAAACCAAAGCTAATAAAAGGTCACATCAATATTCCACATCCTAGGTTATCATTTCTGTGAGAATAAGAATTTCGAGGAAATGTTAACATTTAAAGTAATTTAGCGGATAAAACAGAAAGCATGTAAATACAGTTACAAAATTGGCACTCATTGTGACAAAATGTTTTATTTATAAAGAGACATATTTCTGTTATGTTTTAATCGATACATTGGAAATTGGAATGGAAAAATGTTTGGTTGAGCATCAGTCTTGTATTATTCATAATCAAAATAGCTACTATAGCTTAAATCATATTCTTCAGAATCAAAGAGTATTGTCTTGGCTGGTATTTAGGACAGACAATTTTTTTTTTCAAAAGATCTATATTTTATTTGTATATAAATATGTGCAAAATAGTGTAAGTGTTTAATGTTAAACTGGTATCATGCTCTTCATCTTTCACTTTTACAAATCTATTGACATGATCCACTAACTAATCCAATTTGCCCTGCTCTCGCTGAAATGAAATTCCCGAGTGAGAAATGGGTGACTGTCAGCTACAAGAACTGAAGAAGCTACCGTTGGTGGAGCAACAATATGGACATGGCCCTTGACGAAGGAACCTCCTCCACTGTCAAACTCCGAAGCTCGAAAGATCGACAGTAGCAGGCTGATCAGGGACCAGGAAATGATTGAATAATAGAGAGAGAAAAACCCTCTTACACACTTTTATATAAATAATTTACTTATACTTATACTTATATGTAACTCATGATCTGTTGTTTTTATTTGTTTAATATTTCATAATAAAATCATTAAATTGTTTTGCATCGTTTATGAAATATTACTATGCTGAATAATAAAACAAAGCTGGCCGTCGGGTTATGTCAAGATCGAACAAATCATAATAAAAGGCAGTGGCTATTTACCACCGGCAAATAGCCACTGCCATAATAAAATTAGCTTACAATTTTGTGTTCGTTATAGCTCTCTGATAATTTTCGTCTACGAATATATCCGAAAACAAAAGAAGATACGAAATTGTGATATAGATTCAGATCAAACCAAAGAACTAACAAAGGTTTTGAGCCACTGTATATTCCTAATATTTTGTAGACACTACCATCCATCAAAGATCGTATAAGGTATCAAGCTTATAATTTTGAGTAGGATTTGGCATCCCGGTAAGAAAAGAATATTGTCTATGTACACATTATGACAACAGTTGGATTAAATGCAATTGACATTTGGAACCTCCAAGAACTTTTTTAACAGAAACATAGAAACATGTTAAAGTTGCACTTGAAGTTATGTATCATGTCATTTTCACTTTGTGAATATTAGCTTGTATTATTTTGACATTATCCCTCATGACACAACAATATCACTTTTTTTGCAGAGTCAAGCGATGTTATCAAGCTTTCCGTCTAGGAGTTACTTTTCATCTTTTCAATAATATATTGTCCTATTTCAGCAAATAAACCAGTAGAATTAAACAGATATTTTTCAGAACCATATTCATGAGGCTCTGGGTACGTAAAATGTATGGCATAAACTTCCTTCCAATTGAAGTCTTGATGTTTTGTCCAATCACGATGGTTTTCTTTAAAAATTGGGTGACATTTCAGGCGGAAGCACATCACCTGTAGTTTGGTGTCAATATGAACCAAGTTGGGGTTTCGTTCGTACACTTTATAAGGCAACTCTAAAGCATTATAATAAAAATCATCACTTCTGTAGTTCTTAAGTGTTTTTTGCCAAGCCAAGATAAATCGAGATCTAGGAGCTGCTATAGCAACTCCCAAATTTATTTGTTGAGGGAATGATTGAGAGGCCACCATGTGATCGAAGTTTAAAATTACCTCATGCCCTGAATGCAATATGCTATCTACTGGATTAAGCCACATTGCGTCCCAATCTAAATATATTCCGCCATATTTAGATAAAATTTCCGCACGTAATACGTCACTGACATGCGTAGTGTATTTAATTCTATGTCCGTATATATATGTTGTGAGTTCTCTGTAGACGAGGGTGACTCTTGGATTGGATTTAATCAATTCCCAATATTCACCATTTAGACGAAGGTCACCGTGAATATAAACACGTTCTGCTTTTAGAACATAAAGGGAGCTAACTACACTCAAATACATCATGAAGGTCAAAGTCATCGGGTGAAACCATATATAGTGCACGATATTTTGTATCCGCAATATCTCTCTGCAGACTTCTGGAACCGTGGATATTCCCAATGATGTATTCACAGCTGTTTTGACGTAGTATAGCGAGTGAAGATATTCCTCTAAATTAGAATCCGTACGAAACAAATCTATTGGAAAGTATTTTGTGCTCAACACCACACATTCTGATGATGTTAGATTAAACAATCCTTCATGCACACATTTATGAAGACCTGTTTCGTTATTGGGTATATTTGTAAAAGGAACGACTGTGAAAGGGTTTTTCGCTTGCATTAGTGTTATATTTTCATGCTTCCTGCTGCTAAAAATGACCTTAACGTTGTTGTCAAGATCTGTTAAAAAACTGAATTCTTTGTTCAAAAGTTGCGCTGCATGTTTTGTTAAAATGACATCATTGGACACGTACACTCCACCCCTATCCTGAAGAATAGCTCGTGCATAAGAAATGTCACAGACATCATTCTCCTTCCAGTAACCAGGCATTTCCTTGACAACCAGACACGGTATAATCGATTTCAGATCTTCTAACCACGTGTTATACTTGTCTTGAATTATCTTACCCTTGTAATGAATTTCAATTACATCCGGTTCAAAATTTCTCCACGCGCTTATAACACTGAGGTAATTCTCAAACAAAAACGAATGGTTTGTCTTCTGACTACAAAACACATAATGGAACACATTTGGAATTTTCCTTGAATCCAATTCAATAAGGTCACGTGGAATCACGTCTGGAAAAACATACGATTGTAGAGTGACGTCATCGCAGTGCTCATCAGAAATCCATTGTTGATGTTGTTGTTGAAAACAGGACTGTGTTATCCAAGCAATCTGAATTACTAAATATAGAACCACTGTCAGCACTAGGATCTTGAAGACCTGTCGACTTCTCATGTTAAAGTAATCCTGAAAGGGTCAGAAACACAAACTTGCTTACATCATTGTAAACAGCTACTCAACCCAGAAAATGTCAGAGCTTACTTACCAGTAACCTTGTAAGCTTGGCCCTCTTGGGTTCACTGTTGGTATTTTACTTTAATCAAATAGCTTTCAAACCTTTTGTGATATTTTCTCAACTTAGACGTTCAAAGTTTATCATAATATGAGTGAAAGTCTAGTACGTTAAATAGTGCTTGCTTTCGAGTTCGTGTCAGTCAAAAATATTTCGTCGAAAGTATGATAAAAATTTAATCTAAGCTTTAGCATGACAACATGGTAAATTATTTACGACTGGCCTATAAACTGCTAAACTTTTGTTATGACTAGTACACACGTTATTTATCGTTTACCATCTCGATAAAATAAGGAGCCTTTGAAGGCAACGTCATGATGATCATGCCATACTGAGTTGCAATAAGTCTTCACATTCTTCCGATCTGAACACAGAAAACTGCCAATGTGCCATATTGTTGGATTGCGTATTTTCGTATTCGTACTTCGCCGTCCATTTGCATTACAGAAGTAATAACACAGTATTAGAGTGAAGGTAAAAACAGGTACCGGTACAGTACAATGTACCATGTACCTTTAAGTCTTTTATATAAGGCGATTTTGAGATATTATACAGCTCATAGTTTCACAAAAAAATATACTGAAACCTTCTACAATCTAGGAGTCCAGGTGACTTAAGATATTTAAGTGCATGTTATATTAAGATTTCTATAAGTACGTTTCTTCTTACCTGACTTAAGAAGATATACCACCTCAAAACAACCAAATTGAAGAACTCCTCAAAATTTCTTTAAAATCTTGCTGCTAAATGACTGTGTTAAAATAACCAATATAGACCCAGTACTAGTCTATTTGTAGTTGTTTTTTATATTCGTAGATAAATATTTGATGTGAGTGATTCGTATCATTATTAATAATTCAAAAAACAACACCCAAACCCTTCTTGTATCCATAAATTAATTAATCAGGAAATTTTTCTCACCATTGATTTAAGATGGTATCTTGGACACAGAGTTGTTAGTAGAAATACTTTGCACTGTGGAGGAGAAAGCTTTGTGAGAGTACAAGTCGTATTATTATAATGTATAATCTTTCTTTGTTATTCCAATCACTTGCAGATGGACAGGCCCATTAATAATGTAAGTGCTAGATTGTAAAGATTGGTCGGGAAGATCCAGCTGGTAGATAACATGCGCAGAAAATTATCTATCCATCTCAACATTATATCCCTATTTTTTTTCTCGAAAACTCCACCATCAAAATCAAACATCTTAGTTCAGACATCTACAGCAAGAAGCCACAGACTGGTACCGAATGGACTGAACATTCATCGTGATAACCCAACTCAAGCTTCTAATACAATCAAACGCCAAAATATTGAACACAAAACTTAATTTCCCGTTGGATGTAAAATTCCAAATCCCGAACTGTCCGAATTGGATCTGAAAAGACAAAAAAATCGAAACTATATTTGCGCCAAAGGTGGTGCACAAATTCGGGAATCAAAACATTTCACATCAAAAAACGAATATTTTTAAAAGCTTTCATTTGGTCAAATCACAATTTCTTTCTTTATTTTTCGTGTAGACCATGCTAATTTATAATAATGCCGTCTATGAATTGATATTTTTGATTTTTAATAAATGTAATCACTATCATTCAATGGACACTTTTTGTGATCGAACGCGTCTTCCCATTATCTCGCTTGAATAGCAACCATGACATGTCAAGGTGACAACACAGTGGGAGATTTAAATCTAAATAGCTACCAAAATTATGAATTCTTGGTTCTTGCTGTTTCCCACAACCAGGCAACACCTGTTACAGACGTTTTAGGGAATCACACTCACAGTCGGATTCAACTACTAGTACTACTCCTCAATGCTATATCCACAGAGATATTTAAAAAAAAAGAGCTGCTAAGCCTAACTGGTAAAAGTTACGCCATGACAACAATATACTATAATAATAGTAAAAATACTAATGTGAAAAGGAAAGTGACTGAAGTCATAAGTACATACGTATTTCTAGTATTCAAAAGTGATATCGAGTGTCTAGGAGGGTAAACATACTCTTCATGGCGCCACATCCGTCATTGCTGCTCAATATAAACAACAAACACGTCTAACGTGAAGGCAAAAACAAATAAATTGTGACTAACTTAAAAGTTCAAGGGAGGTAATTTGTAGATAGAATATTTTTATTTCGGCTAATATTTACGTTCAAGCAGAGCCTATATATAGGTTCAAGGCAGAATACCGATCACAACAGTTATATTGTCTTTGGAAATAGTGTTACAAACGCCCATAACAATTAGGCAACATTTATAATGAAAAAAGATAGGCCTACCAAGTGTCCAGATGATTAAGCATACTCACGAAACGACACGAAACGTCCTGTAACTAACAAAAGAAATGAAAAGCTGAGTAGGCTAACCTTCTTGACCTTGGCAATACCTAACAATAAATATCTCATTGTCCTTTGATTAAATATCTTTATATTCCAAAGAACATATTACGTAAACGATTTATCGATTCCCTAAGTTATAAAGCCCGGGAAATATATTTTAGAGAAAATTCCAGTGCTGGTGCCGTGTCAGTGTAGGTTAGGCAAGAACATGGTCCTGTCTAACATTCAGCACATGGGGGCAATGTAATGAATGAAAAAAATACACAATACCTCGATGGACAACTTGTTTAACAAACACGTAAGTACAATATGTGTATTAAATGGATTACCATGCTGTGATCAAGTACATGAACACAAAAGATGTACAAGCCATCACAATTTAACAAGATAATAATATATATATTACATTATACAGAAAAATACATAATATACACAAGTTCATGCTAACGTACATAACCACACGATGTAAAGACATTGAAATACATATACATTCATATGAAGCAAAAAAAAAACGCAAGTCAAAAGTCAGTGCAAGTGCTGCGAGTGGGTTACCCAAACCCTACTCCATATCATGTTCACATTTTTATGTGCCCACGTGAAATGCGGAGCGTATTGTCGTCACCCACGTCCGTCCGTCCGTCCACAATTGCTTGTAATCATTCTAGAAGGCACAATTCTTGATGGATTTTGACGAAAATTAGTATGATTGTCTGTAAATACCCAAGGATGAACCCTATTGAACAATCAAAAAAAAATTAGGATGAGTTGTTGCCTTTGTTCTTGAAACGCGTTCAATTTTTAGCTTGTAAGCACTCTAGAAAGTTCAATTATTAACAGATTTTAACGAAACTTGGCGTGAGTGTTTGTAATCACCAAAGGATGAATACTATTGAAAATCAGAAAAATCGAAAAATATTTAGTATGAGTTATTGCCCTTGTTCTTTAAGATGCTTTCAATTTTAGTCCATAAACACTCTAGAAGGCACAATTCTTGATGGATTTTGTCGAAACTTGGTGGAATGTTTGTTATCAAACAAGGATGAATCCTATCGAAAATCAGAATATTATACAGTATCGAAAGACTTCAAAAGAAGTGTTGAATGTTCAAACTGAAGGTTGAATATTTCATACTGGTAATTGTTACTGTTCTGTTTTGTTCAAAATCAAAGCTGCCAGTGGGCGTATATTACCTTGCCTGGCAAGCTTTCTTTCTATAATGGAGGGTGAGGTAGAATTTATCCATGCTCAAGACCAGATGTTTACTCATCCTCTGACATTAAGAGTAATTTTGAATTTGCCAAATCAATTAAGTTCAGGCCAAAAATAGAATTGTTAGTGAAACAATATGTAGTCTACCTGTGGGAAAAGAGTAAAAAATTATTGAATTAGTATAAACAATCGAATCATTCATGATATTGAACCATAACTGTTAGAGTCAAGATAACAATTAGTAAGCAGGTGTATTATTGGTCAAATCTAAGGTTTGAAGGATACGATTCACAGGCACAGCATCCACCAACCCCATAGAAAAAAAATGAACATGGACACTGAGAGATACAAGAGCGACAATTGGGTAATATGATTAAAATGGTATGGTAACGCAGTCTTAGTTACGTTATGAATACCTGTAATGAAAAGGAAGTATTCTTATACTTAAGAAAGATAATCAAAAATTATTCTTCGAAAAGTATTAAAATCTGATCTATAATTATCCCTTAGATCATTTCATAAAATTGACCCTTCGCACTTGATACTCAGATTAATCAGATTGATACGTGGTTTTTGCACCACAAGTTTTGAATTTATATTCGAATATGGAGTTTGTTTATATCTAAAGAGGTTTGAAAAGTAGGTCATACGAATCCTAAATTGTAGAACAATCTCACCCTAATCCCAATTGAGCGCATAGAAATTGACTTGCCCGAAGATGAAACTACCAAATTCCGCCAATCTAAGGAAGCCCATTGGATTGAGACATTGAATACAGCAAGACCTATAGGACTAAATATTCACCATAATGTAGGCATAGCACCCTTTGTTGTCCCGTTCAGTACAACCAGCAATCGAGCAAGCAAGATAGTTCATTCCCACTATAAGAGCCTTCAAGAGAAATTCCCTCAAGTCTATAAGCAGAAAATGATAGTTGCATAATCAAAAAATAAGAATAAAATTAAAAAAGAATTAAATGATAATATTGTTCATACTAAACTAAAAACAATCAGAACATAACAGATACTATACTTCTCGCCCATTGGGTGAGATATTTTTTCTAATTTCAGATCAGAATCAGAAGAAAACCCAATATCAAGACCCTTAATCCTAATTTCTAAATAAGGTGTCTGCTCCACCCAATGCCTGTACATTTGGGAGAATCAAACCCTCCCTTACCCGAAAAATCAAACCCTCCCTTACCCGAAATCTAAACTTTTCTTAACTAGCGTAATTGAAATAACTTTTGATTGACAATAACAATAACTTTAGTAATTTAAAGTTTTCAACTTGTTCAATATACTGATTATAAAGTTCAACTGATAAATTTCCTGAATTCCTTCTTTTTGGGCTGTTGTGATTGAGATACATTTGGTTTTCTTTTCATTTAAAAATCATGACATTAGAATACCAGTTTAAGACTTCTTGCAATTTAAGTTGTATATCCGTTATTATAGTTTTACCAAAGGTATAAATAGTAATATCATCCGCAAAAATTGAATTTATATATAATGGTAATTTATTGATAAAGATTAAACAACAAGGGACCTAAGATGGATCCTTGTGAAACTGCATGCGTAATATTGCGAGAAGACGAATAGTTCCATTGTCGTAACATCGTTGTGTAGATCTAGACTGTTGCGAGCAAAGAATTGGTTATCATTTAGAAAAATTGTAATATGCTTTGAATAGTGTCTTTCAAGCAGTTTAGATACACTAGATTGACAAGATAAAACAAAAATTGATGTATAATTTTTGGGTCAGACTTACTTTTGCTTCTTTGAAATTATCAGGAAATATGTTTGTATAGATTACATAGATTATATATATGAGTCAAAGGACCACTTAATGTATAAGCACCGCATTTGAGAAAAAAAGAATTTAATTTAGCTAAACCAGTACTTTTAACTGCATTTAACGAATATAATTGTTTAAAAACTTCATATTTTTATTGTGGTCAATCGAACATTCTCCACTAGAAATTAACATGGAAGTGGCAATTTCTTCAATTTCAATAACATAACTTTTATAATAATTACATGTAGGCCTTTTTCTGTTAACTTGCTTTTGATTAGTTAATTTAGATGCAATATTTGAAAAATGATCACCAGATTCCTACACTTATCATCTTTGCCTTACTATCTCAAGCTATCTCTTGTGTGCATTCATTTTCAAGATTTCAGAATTTCTAGAATATCTAGGGTGATTTTATTTCTGACACGCCTATCAATTATCGGCTGGATAGTATAATACAAAGATTTGTATGTGCCGTTTATGAACTTAGTTATATCGAAAAATCCACCTTACCGTGTTGGAATCAGAAATATACAACAATGAAGGCATACGGTGCCTACTTAACAATCACAGTATCTGTCCTCTCGGCAACAGTTGGCTTGGACACGACGAGATTGTCTTTCAAGTCTACTTTCACCTGACTGTCAAAAATGCCCACTATCATTATTGGCGTCACAAACACATGACGTTATTGGTAACGTCACAATGGCACGGTTGTCAAAGATGGCAGACAAAGTTTAAGGACTTTGGACATTAATCGTTATTGAACCAAAATGGAGGGAAAGAGAGAAACGATTGCCCAGAAAACTGTGACCATAGCACCCCAACTACTTCCAGAAGTTGAAGATCCCCAAGAAGACACCAAGAAAGCAAATGGGTGTAAGCCTTCACTGACGAAAAAACAGCGTGGTTTTTCGCTATTTTTCGCCAGTTCATCCACGTCCGTGTTGGATAGTAAAGATACTCGGGAATATGGTATGAGAGATAGTGATATTGTTCAACAATCGATAGAATCAACCCCAGAACAAATTGCTGCAAATGTAAAACTTGCCCGTCTCCAGTCAATTTTTAAAGAAGCGGACAAGGATGGCGAGCCTGGACTTAGTATGGATGAATTCAAAGATGCGCTCAGGCAGACATCTAATAAGGTAAGAGATAATCATAAATTCACATTCAAAAGTGTTTTTTAGCAGATTTGAATGAAAATGGTTATTTTGATAGAGTTGCCAAAGCGTAACCAAGTTCTAGTCTATAGTCTATAATTAATGGATATTTTTTTATCACCACCTGTCGCATCAGATCATTCTGGGATGGTTTCTTTAAAAACAAATAATAATGCAACTGCCCGCATTTTATTCTTGAATACACCCAATCACTGAACTAGTCAAAATGTACAACATTATAATGATCTGTAGACATTTAGACATAAAATTTTGTTTCTTTCAGCCAATAGATGAAGAGGAAGTGGAAACATTGTTTATGAAAATGGACGCTAACTGTGACGGAACATTAGATTGGGAGGAATACGTTAGCTACAATTTATTAGAATATCAGGAAAAATCACAGATGTTAGAAATGCTGAAAGAAAAACCCTTTCCGAAAGAAATAAAATGCATTCATACGCGTCACCATGACAATATAGTCCGAATCATTTATTCACCTCATGTCCATAAACGATGGACTCATATGGACTACACGAATGGCAAATATGCAACTCTCAGCAAAGATGGTATTGTTACATTCTGGAGTTTAGGGTTGCGTTACAATAGGTGTCATACTGTTGCGGTACCGAATGATCGAGCAACTCAGCCATGGTTTGTTGACATGGTGTCAGTCTATAACGTCAATATGATAGCGGTTGCTAGTACTGATCGGGATATAAGTTTTTATGATATCACAGCTAAGAAATTTGTCAAAAGATATGTGATAACGGGTTTAGAGAACTGTGTCACCACCATGGACTATTGGGCGGATTTAGACGGAAAGAAGCAGTCAGTAATGGTATGGGGTGACACCGCCGGAAATGATTACGGGATATATTTTGAAATTCAACGTGGAAGTGGACTCTTTGGTTCATTACCTACCAAGCAGGAGATGGCAAAGCGAATAAGTTTTGCAGAGCTGCTAAAAGGCCATTTTCCAAATATCAAAGCTTTTCGTCTGGCTGGAATCCACGATGACTGGGTAACTAAGATAGCTTATATCCCAGAATTGGGATGTTTTTTGTCGTGTTGTCAATCAAGTACCACCTCTCTTTATTTGGGAGACTTTCTTAAAAAGAAATCACCATCTTATTTCAAGGTGAATAAAGGCTTGTTTGCATTCGATTACTGTGCCAAACTTAATATCATTGCGACTGGAGGTATGGACTACAATGTTCGAATATGGAATCCGTATGTCAACAATAAATGTATATTGCTACTGAAAGGTCACACCAAGCCTGTGGTACATATTGTTTTGATTGGCAAGAAACATCAAGTTCTCAGTATCGACAAAGGTAAAAGTATCCGTGTTTTCGACCTTAAGGATCAGAGTTGTCTCCAGAATCTTAGTGGTAGAATTATCTCCCTTGGACCGTTTCCTATCTCAACCATTCTATTTAATCCTGATCTTCAGCATCTGGTTTTAGCAACTAATAAACTAGGTAAGATAAGTCGTCTTTAATATCTATTTAATCGAATCACTGAAGCTGATTACACGTTTGGAGGTAACATGGTGGAACACATTAGACTGATTATGAAATATACCAGGGGAGATTATGAACCTTGCATTTATAAGACTTTATTCTAAATAGATAAACAACAAATGTGTTCTCGAAAATTCGAACGGAATTAGTTGTAATGAACATTATGAAGAGATTCAAAATAGGCTCCATGTATGTGTTCCATGGGCTTATAGCTTCTATTTGCACCGTTTTGTGTTTCTGCTTCCTGAGATTCCAGAAACAATCGGACTCTAAGCTATCGTACAATATGGTTAAGTTCTTAAAAGTTATGTGAACAGCAGACGTCGGATATGTAATCGGAAGCGAAATAATTATAAGTTATAAACTACAATATAATATTATGTGGATAGCGATATCTGAATTTATTATTACAGGATTGCTGGAGAGTCGTGAAGAAGATGAACGTCATGCTGAAATATTGTCACACAATAAACCTGTTGTACAAGTTCTATATAATCCTTCCTTTAAGGTAATACCCGTGATATCGTTCTTTGCAATTCTTTTTTCCTGTCTTCAGTCCCTCCGTGTATATATCTATACCATATGAGAATGACATTATATCATATTGTGTATTGGGTGGTGCTAATTCCATCAATTACTGATCAGTTATCTCTGATGATATTTCAGGTAGTGATAACAGCATGTGAGGAATCTGTGGTCAGTGTATGGGATATGGAAACAGGAGAGAAATCCATGCAGTTTGTTAATGCTCATACACTAATGGAAGATGGTGTGCTCACACCTCTAGAGATTACTGCCATGGCTTTTGACCCACCTATGAGAAGGTTGCTGACTGGCGCCAGAGACGGAATTATCAAGGTAAACTTCTTTTATTTATTAGTAAAGTACGCTTTTCGACCAATTAACATCGTGTCCAAAACACGCCCCATTCGTCACACTTCCTTAATAAGACCATGTCAAAACCCAAATTCGTGATACGATGTCCAATTAAGTGTTTCTCTGAACTAAACTTAACGCTGGCAAATGGTCATGAATTGGGCTGCACTAGGATATTATATATATAGATACTGTACAAACATGCCATGGTCGAAATGTTGCACTCGAATTTGTTTCATTTAAGGTCTGGAATTTCAATGTTGGTGCTGTGCTTCAGAGTTTTTACGCGTCAGAAAGGGCTATGGTGACGGGGATTATTTGTACAGCTCGAAAATTTTATGTTACTGGTTGGTTCAGATTCATCAATGTATTTGTAGATGGCGAAGGAGCTGATAGCTGTAAAAGGTGGCCTAAGAAGCATGAGGAGGACATTCTTTGTATGGCTTACTTTCATCCTACGTTATTAGCAACTGGTGCGTATGATGGTACGATTAATGTATGGCTTCGAGAAACTGGTCATGTTGTCTGTAAGCTCAATGCTCATGAATCGGATAAAGCTAATCCAGACGGTACTTATAGCTACGGCGAGAACCAGGAAACACAAACCCCTTCATATCAACCTAAAAGTGATTCTGAATATCGACTTGATTCAGCTGATTCAATTATGTCACCAATGGACTTTCCAACTTTGACCAAATCCAAAATTGGTAGCTTTTATGCTGGCCAGGATTACCATTTAAAACAAAAAGTCGAAAGTAGAAGCCTAGAAGACATCGATGATAAGGATGGTGAGGAAGAATTATGCAACATTATGAACATCGAAGACAAGAGTTACGAACATCCTTTGTTGGGAGCTTTGAATCCCCAGAGTCCAGATCTTGATAAGATACCGAAGAAACTTTATAGTCGACAAGATTATGACAGTCTTACAAAGAATTACGAAGCTTCAATTGAAAGTATGATTTTTCTTGAAAAGAGAAATCATTTGGATAAAGACACTGCTGTTTTGGTTTCCTCGGGTGCGGAAGGCTGGGTGCGCTTTTGGTCCGTCGCTCATGAGGGTGGTTTATTAGGTCAATTCAATGCTGGACATCAACCTGGTTGTAGCGTAAACTGTATGGTTACGGATATAGATAATAACTATCTTATTACTGCTGATACCATGGGCGTCGTTAAAGTTTGGGACATCATGAATTATTGTATTCGTCTCCGTGTTCCCGATGGCACATCATATGCCAGATTTAAGAAACTGACAAAACGATTTCCTTATCTTAGGATTTTTGCCATCAGTGCTGCGTTCCGTCAAGATAAAGGTGAAAATTTTAAAAGGCGACCTCCGCCAGCTTCGAGCAATCCGGAAATGACTTTAAAGGAGCCTTTGTGCCTGAACTCATTCCGTGCCCATACTAAAGCTATTAACCGCTTAGAGTTTATCAATGATAGGCAACTCATTATCACTACTAGTAGTGACTGTGCTATAAGACTTTGGACTATCTGTGGAAAATACATTGGAACATTTGGTGAGAGGTGGAAACAACTTCCCAAAACAATCAAGGCTGCTGCAATCCAAAGAACAGTGCCAAAAGATCTTCGAAGATGTGGTTCAGCTCGGACGATGAGGGTACTGAACGGTGGTAAGCTACCATATTGGCGTAAAGCGGTTAACCTGGTTAAACAAAGAGGATTTGAACGTTTGAAGGCTCAATTTGAGCATCTTCAAGACAAGGACGAACTGAATGAACTGTTAAAAAAGCAGGAAATGGAGCAAGAATCTAGTAATATATTGGGTAAATCTTATAAAAGACAGATCAGACATAAAATGCCGCCAGTTTTACCCAAACTTTTGGAAACACCAAACACGGTTTGTACAGTTTACTATTTAAGAGCTAAAGCTTGAAATTATGATCGATATTTGAATAACGTTTACTTTTACATATAAAATGTAAATCTTATTCACAGCAGTGACATGCCGTCGCACAGATGTTGCTTCGATAAAGAATAATCATTTCACATTAAACGAGAGAAAATGACCACACGCCACGGTTGAATAGATCAATGCCTTTTCAAGTGACCATGTTAATAAGATGAGATGTTTTTTTTTTTAAATGTAATAACTATTAAGTGACTTCTAAGGCAAACAATGTTTAATCTTTGCAATTTTTTGATGAAACTCGATACTCTTAAGATATTACATTTTTGTGGGCATCCGATATCTGTTTCATTTGATACAACTCCATCTCAAATTGCAGAATCTGAATTAAAATTTAACTTTAAAAGTTCTCAGACAAGTTTGCCTAGATGCCTTTACCTGAATGTTCCTCTTTTAATTCTTTTAGATAGCTGTATATCATTCTTTACCATTTGCTGAACTGACTCCATTGGATATCAATCAAGCCTCGGCTACATTGAATGAGATCAGTCAGAGGAGATGCCTTCCTAATACCAAAGAAACCCAGAAGAAGGAGAAGAAGAGCGACACTCCCGCAGGTTTTGTTGGACACTATACACACATAGTTCATAAGAACATGGGATTAGGTAAACAAGCTCCGCAGGGAAGATTACGTAAAGTATCTAGTCGACATACCAGACTACCAATGAAAACGCCAGAAAGTGATGAACGCAGCACAGCGACAAATTCCCCTTTAAATCCTATAGATTGCGGGAGTCCTGTTTCCGGTAATAGTCGCAATCCCACCAAATTAAAGTTTCCAGTAATAGAGTGATGGATCTCAATGTACCTAAATGTCATTGTTCTTGAAGAAAACAATCCTTAATGTATTCTTTATAAGCAAGAAAATAATTCCTAATGTGAGAACTGGGTCTCCACTGTCCTTATCGATGACTACTCTTGTATTCTTTACTAGCAGCTTATCGGAATTGTGTTTTAAGATCCAGATATAGGTTGTAAAAAATATCTGACTGACAAAAATGACTAATAAAGAATGAGTTCGGCAGCCACTCGAACCCAATCAGCTTGAATAATATAACAAATAATAACCTAAATATATTTATTCATCATTAATAACAATAATCAAACAACAATAACTCAACAGTTTTGGCTTCACGTAACAATAAATATACCAGAAATATACAGATATGTAACACACACTTAAATAAATATCATTAGTACACTAAGCTACATATAAAACTATATTATTATAGTATGTTATTTATGCCAATTAAAGGAAAATAACAACTTCTGTGGAAAGCTGAAAAGAACTTTGACCAATCAGAAGATGAAAGTTAAATATATAAATTGAACAACGAGACGAGTAAAGCTTACAGATAAATTTTACTGTAATTCTGGTCAATATATTCAATTTTTACAAAAGCTTAAATAAAGGCTTTACATAAAAACATCTTTACATATATTATGAATACAAATTTGCCCTATCTGTATCGTTTATTATTGTATTTACAATTTAATTACATAGTGGCAATTTATATACAGAATGTTAAAAATCCAAATATTGCCACCAATGGTAGGACCTAAATACACACAGAAAAAATTTAATGTTTATTTTAAAAATGGCAGGTATGAATATTAACTATATAAGACGATAATCAAACGAGTTTTAATGTTTGTAGAAAAAATTTGCAATATGCTAATTATTAAGCTTTTAACAGACAGAAGAAATAACAAACAATCATTAAACTATTTTGTTTCGGTCGAGTTAGGCTATTCGCAGTTGTCGGAATTCGACTATTAATAGTGTACATGCAATGACGCATTCATCTTTAAGCTTTTCCTCATAAATTTACATAGAAACACTATATTTATGACGTTATAAATCTTCAAAAATTTTCCTAATAAATTTATATACAGAGACTATACTTTTGACGTTATAAATATATAAGATATAAAACAATAGATAGCAATACTTGATTAACATAAACCAATTAACATATGATATTCATATATACATAATAACCTCCTGACTTTGTACACGTCAATAAAAATATCTATAAATACTTATGTATATTTGCAAAAAAAAAAAAAAATCAGAATGCGATAGTCTGGGTATAAGGGAAGGATATGTCTGATTTCTCCAAAGTGCAAGGATGTTAGGGACCCATTTCCAAGAGAGTAATGGTGTCACATTTTCATCTTATCAGTTTATAAAATGCAGAAAATTTCGACAGTTTTTTTATGAATTTTTCAAATCATGTGCGTGGTCAAGATTAAATGTTAATTTGAATTTCTTTAAACTAATGATACATAGTTACCTCACCTTTCGCTACAACTCATCATTGTAGCCTTCATTATTACTGTCCAATAAGCCACTGCGTAACATATGGCGTAGCTTGCAATGAGAAGTTGACGAATAGGCCTACAGAGGAAGTTTCAACCAATTACAATGGGTGTTTCAATATACCCATGTAATTTGGCGAGAGCGGATAATATTGTGAGAACACTCATACCCCCTTGCTTAAAGAAAATTGACTTCTCATGCATAAGCCAATTGACCGTGTTAATGTATATTCTATAAATATGGGAACAGATCGTGAGTCCATGGAAAAGCTTGTGCATCTCGAGCTGGCAGTTTCAATGGCGATTGCGACTCCTAATACGCTTTTTTGTACGTGTATGCATATTGTTCTAATAGAACTGCTCTATGCAGATTTCTAAAAACCACAATGCAATGTCAAGATGTTACGACTTACGTTACGACATTTGGTCTGTATATAAAGATATTACGGCATCATAATAAAAAATTTTACTGATGATCTCCCTTTCATTCATGCACGGAACATTGTGTTATCCCTTTTGACTCTTCACTGTACTGCGATAGATGCAGGAGAGACCTGATCGCATTCAGCACGCAAGCGTAACGAATGCCACTGTGCAACAGGTGATCGCTGACATTGAAGCATACGGGACCAGTGTGTAAACTCGTGAGGGCCTGTACCGTAACGTCCCAAGACGATTCGCCCTACAAATTCGTCCTTACTCTTCGTACCGTGGTGCCAGACACTGATGACGAGACTTGTGTTCTCCAATTGTTGTGGTGTGATATTAAAACTAATCGATTCGTTAAATATTGGATCAATAGTGCTCTTCTTGATGGAAGTCTTCTTAGTTTTGATCGGTTTCTCAAAATGGATCAACGTAACTTTAACTAATGGATCTGAAATGATAACATTGATACAATTTGAAATTTTCTAAATACTTTCTTTATCTGCAATGTTTTACCCACTTGACATTTTTGGCGTATATTGCCGTCACCCCTGTGACTAGGTATAGATATTTAGATTGATAAGATCTCGAATTCGTTCGAAATTGACGATGTCTTGACGAACAGTTCTAAAGTTTTTGCCCTTGACAAAAATATATAAGAATCATGATTTTACGATGTCAAGGGCATCATTATTGGTTAACAAGAAGCGAATATTTTTAACCATTAGCAATGTTACCCTGAGATTGAAATTATGTAAAATTTAATCAGTAGTTGTGGTCATAGGTGATTGAAATATTATTAATCTAAATAGATCTGAGTTGAGTCGTGGGCTAAACTTGAACAATGAAGCAGGTGCTTACAGAATATAAAATCTGTTCATTGGATTAAACTGTTGGTCTCATAATGTCATGAAAATATAACTGAACATCTTCGTTATATATCAAAGTCAAAGGTTACTTTTAACAGATGTTATTACGCAGTGTTCATTGATAAGTTCTACAAAATGTAGGCAGTTAATTCATTGACGTTTTGAGCGGATTTCCTACAATCTTTCACTCATCATTAATGTATTGAATATATTCAAATAACCTATTCCATTCTTATTAAAATATAATATTTCGTCATATCAATTTGAAAACCAACAAGCTTTAATTAAGATGCAGATAATTAGAATATGATGACAATTCGAGTCAGGATAACTATACTGACGGGTACGTAAAAAGGTGTCTATTTAATTTTACACAACTTTATTAAGCGGATGTATATCGCCGTCAATTGTTTGTGATCGCGATAGAGACTACAATTTTGACGAATCTTTTGCAGCGCCTGATGAAGCAAACCAGTAGTATATCCCTAAACAGGCGCTATCATGAAACCCTGGTAAAACGAAAGAGACGAAGGCCAAAAAGACACGGGACCTTCAGGTAGACAGATGGGACACGGCTGGAACAACTATAGAGAGTACAGCCTAGGACCGCCGGTCTGGGGGACTGTTGTTGGGGGTCGCCTATGATTCGAGAGGATTGACTGGGACATAATTTAGGGCAAAATTTAAAAAAAATAAAAACAGTCGTCCAACATTTAGAAAACTCATCCAAGGCCTCATCTGGGGCTAAAAGAAGATATTTTATTTGAAAAGAAATACTGCAAAGCATTTTGCTTGAGAGTGGACATAATATGGCCGTTCAGGTGACGTGGGGAAGTCTTTTTAACTCTTGCTAGCTGACAATCTATTTCAGCATTTCCAGTTCAGTAAATAAAAAGAAAAAACCGATAGTTTTATAGAAAGACATGTCATCAATATAATCTTGCAACATTCCTGGTAATATTGATTAGTCGGCACCAATCTCCTGTAACTATGGCAACATGCCTGTGGTCACTTTCATCAATTTAGTGTTATTTATAGAAAAGCGTGGGCAATACATATCAACAAAGTCATTTGCTTCTAGAGAAGAATATACAAGCTTTAAGTTAGCTATCTGTATTATATCAACAGTAACAATTGTATTTGGATCTTTTTCTCATTTACTTTCAGTCAAACTTGGTCTGGGTTTCAAGACTCGTTAATATAGGTTAGATCGACTAACTTGGCGTAAAAATTTTGAATGATAAGATTGCGGACACTTCTAATTCAAATATGATGAAACTGGTTTTCGGTGAACGGGTTACGAGTTATAACTTCAAAATCGGAATAGTTCAATTTCCAAACAAACTAATCATCAACCGACAAAACGGTAGTAAAATGTGGTGTCAATAACATATGAAAACAAATCTAAATACGCTAAATACAAGAATTATTGAATTCTCTATCCACCATATAGTCAATCCTCCTTTTCATGTAGTGATAGGAACACTGCAAAAATAATGCTGTGCAGACAGATGAAGAGGTTATTTCCATTTCAGCAGACTATCAGTATTCAGATACTTACCAGCGCCACCTACTATTTCAGTTTGCTGGAGTTGCTTCCCTTTGATGATATCAACGTTCAATCTTCCGGCACTAGGTAAATAGTTCAAGGATAGAAGAATTTCACCCAAATCTTGTCTTTCCTGAAATGAATTAAGATTGATTATGTCAAATATCGAGACACTCTGGTTTGGTGAAGAATGACTAATATTGGTTTGGTAGATGATGATGTGGGTCTATGATGATATACCGAAATGATAAACTAAACCAGAATGACTGACATCCTCGATGTATCAGTCGAAACAGTTCAATTTTCATCGTGTTACTCTCACAATATTGTTGATAGACTTAAGCTAAATGCTCAATTTGTGAAAAAATATATATTTTGTTTCTTCAAAAAGCAATAAAAATTGTTTAAAATACATATTAATTTATTTTCTTTTTGGTGATAAAATATATTAATTATAGTCTTAACAGGACTGATTCACTTTTAAAGCACTATATAGAAATGTAAAATGACTTGTGGCGCGAAGAACTATTAACTACATATAAAAACAAGTTGGATACGTACATGATATTCGTAATTCTCGGTTGGAAACCCCAGATTATGATTTAGATATCGACAAAAGATTCCCGAGTCGAACTTTGCTATTCTTACCGGAATGGACAGTTAAAGTACTAGCCATAGCCATGGCCATAAGGGATGTTCACCTCCTCCCCTGACCCCTTAATTGTTAATGGAGAGTAAACTTATTTAATTACGTATCAGTAGGCCTACTGTTGACACATTAAACACAAATGGTTGAATGTTAATGTAAGTCAGATAAATTCAACGCATGGTATGTTTACAAACGTAAATCAAGGTCGTGTGAATTAAGACTTGTTCCTCCCCAGTTTATGAAAGAGTTCACTTGCTTATGTACATCCCTAGAATTTCATTCATAAATATTTTTGTCAGATCATCCAACAGCGGTAGTTTGTGTATTGTTTATGCAAAAAATCGAATGTAATAATGGAACCTGATGTAGCGTATGATCTCTAAATTTAACGGTGATTTTCGAAAATTCTCGTTGTGACTTTTGTGACTTCTCTCGAACAATACCGTGATCAATGTCAGTCAATCAGTTTGAGAGTGTAGCCTACATGTATATTATTATTTGAATCAAAAATTTTGTTCGATTCAGATAAACAATCTGTAATATAGAGTGATACTTACTGGACTACCAGGAATCAAGGGTTTCCACATGTGACCACCTTTAATCAAATTAACACTATTCAAGGGCAGATAAATCTGACCAATCACACAATGGCGGGAAAATTTATCAAAATCTTTGACTAATATTTCCAATGTTCTCATTTGAACTTCCTTATATGGTATTTCAAAAGAGAAGTACTCGTTCCACATAGGTTCTTGTGTTTTCCTTTGAACTGTTGTCTGTTGGGAGTTTTTCTGATCCGGAAGTAGAGAAATTTTACAGTAAGGATTGGAATGAGACATGTCTTGCTTGTTCTCGTCTAAACAATATGGCGGAGGTAAATCTTTAGCCTCGATTATCTTAACAACTAATGTTTTCGAAGAAACTTCATATTGCAGGCCAAAATGAATTTGTCCTAGTTGATACTGCGCAAGTTTTTCTTCGTCAGTCAAACATGGGGTCTCTTCTGGTAGATTGTCATATAAATCTCTTTGAAAATTGTCTATACTTATTTCGCTTTCACTCGGAAGTCGTCGTTTTGTTTTCGGTTGTACATTTTCTCTATTTGCCGTCCAAAATTCAATCGGTTTCATATCAATAATTGGGGTAGTGTGATATCGTTTATAATCGGGTGTTCCAGTGGAGGAAACAGAATCCGTTCTTGAATTTTCGGAATCGTGTCGTTCACGAAAACTTCTCAAACTTTCAGCATTACTGCTAGTAGAATCTAAGATGGAGTCTCGGAACGAATGTCTAATTTCAATCCGTTTTTCCTTCTTCTCTGTTTCAAAGCAACAGTCACAACAACGTTTACAACCATTGGTACAGAAGACTTCAATCAGCTTCTCTAAATATCGCATCGTCTACAATAAAGAATAAAATAAAATACATAAAAGTATAATGTAACAATAAGAAATGACAATTTAAAATGTACAATTTAATTACAAAAAAAGAAGAGACACGAAAAAACAAAGAAGGCCTTTCAAATTTAAAGATGGGTCACTTTCCAATTATTCATTATACAAATAATGGTGATAAAATTAACATTTTGTCTCTCAAGTCCATAATGAACTTGTAATTAGCTAATAAATGGGGATTCCAATTGCTCCTATTCTAATAAAAAAAAATAAAAGTCTTTTCCAAAAACAGAGATAAAGAATTATTTCCCGTTGTGTCATCGACTGCAATGCCACCGTTTCCAATTAACCTACTGACATTTAATTCAAGTGTCAACTGAGGAAAATCAGTCGCAATTGACGATGGGAAGTTCAAATTCACAGACAACTGTGTCAATCACCTGCTAGAGGAAATGCCATTTCTTTATATTACAAGGCTTCCACCTAGATGTCCAGAAGAGAACAATTAATATATAATAATATCAATAGTGATATACGATTTTGGTAATGCAGATCAGTGGGCCCTATATATACCAAATTTCTAAGTAACAATGTTAAACAATAGCTGGAAATGCGGAATGAATAAAAATATCATGTGGCAAACTTTAAGGGACAGATTCGCTATTTTCGGGCGTTGATTGGGTCTCGAAACATGTAAATATATAGTCCCCAGAAGTACTGGAGTCGCAAAATTTCATCAGGAATACCTCAGACCAGAAATTTCACTTTCTATTTCTATATTTGTCTTTTCTATATTATGACAGTCTATCTTTTTAACTCAAGTGTGGAGAATACTGGACCCACGTGGATTTTTAGGGTCATATTTCGACGGCAAGCAGGGAACACCACTACTAGCGCTAAGGTCAAACGGAAAGCGAATCTGTCCCTTTAAGGAGATCTATCTGTAATCAAAGGTGAATAAAAAAACATTCACCCCGGACATTCCGGTATGTTAGTGACATTAAATGGACAATTTAGTTATTGTTGAAATTATTTACATTATCTTTAGTTACTAAGTTTTCCGAATTAAAAATATAGCTTGCGTTGCAAGGTAACATATGCCCACTGGCAGCTGTCAGAAAAAATAAAACAGTCTTTAGTGACTAAAGTACGAATTTTCTCATATTGAAGAAATTATTCATGCTGAATAATTCAACAAAATTTTTTAAAATCAATATCAATAACCCAAATACAACAAACAATTAAATCACACAGCTCTAATCAAGGGCAAAAAACAACTTTTGATGCGTGTTTACAAAGTCAAGGGCAATAACTCAAAAAATGTTCATCAAAAATATCTCTTGTTAGAACTTGTCCGAGATCTTATCAATTCCAATGATCAAACCAAGTTTCATCAGAATCGGTTGAAAACTGTAGCTTCTATTGTGCTCACAAACAAATTTTAACGCGTTTTTCGTAAGTTAATGGCATTAACTCAAAAACATTTCATCGAAAATGCGTCAAGTTAGAACTTGTCCGAGATCTTATCAATTTCAATGATCACACCAAGTTTCATCAGAATCGGTTGAAAACTGTAGCGTCAATCCTGCTCACAAACTATTTTTAACAAATTTCAACACTTTTTAACAAAGTCAAGGGCAATAACTCAAAAACCGTTCATCTAAAATGCGTCAAGTTACAACTTGTCCGAGATCTTATCAATTCCAATGATCACACCAAGTTTCATCAGAATCAGTTGAAAACTGTAGCTTCAATCCTGCTCACAAACTATTTTTAACAAATTTTGACGTGTTTTTACAAAGTCAAGGGCAATAACTCAAAAACCGTTCATTGAAAATGTGTCAAGTTAGAACTTGTCCGAGATCTTATCAATTCCAATGATCACACCAAGTTTCATCAGAATCGGTTGAAAACTGTAGCTTCAATCCTGCTAACGAACTTTTTTTTAACAAATTTCAACGTGTTTTAACAAAGTCAAGGGCAATAACTCAAAAACCGTTCATCGAAAATGCGTCATGTTAGAACTTGTCCGAGATCTTATCAATTCCAATGATCACACCAAGTTTCATCAGAATCGGTTGAAAACTGTAGCTTCAATCCTGCTCATGAACTATTTTTAACAAATTTCGACGCGTTTTAACAAAGTCAAGGGCAATAACTCAAAAACCGTGCATCGAAAATGCGTCAAGTTAGAACTTGTCCGAGATCTTATCAATTCCAATGATCACACCAAGTTTCATCAGAATCGGTTGAAAACTATAGCTTCAATCCTGCTCACGAACTATTTTTAACAAATTTTGACGCGTTTTAACAAAGTCAAGGGCAATAATTCAAAACCCGTTCATTGAAAATGCGTCAAGTTAGAACTTGTCCGAGATCTTATGAATTACAATGATCACACGAAGTTTCATCAGAATCGGATGAAAACTGTAGCTTCAATCCTGCTCACGAACAATTTTTAACAAATTTCAAGGCGTTCTAAGTCAAGGGCAATATCTCAAAAACCGTTCATCGAAAATATGTCAAATTCGAACTTCCATGAAAATATCCATGTATTTTCAATAGTAATATAATTAGTATAAATTGTTGTCTCTTTAAAGGGGAACAGTTGGCATTTTCGGGGATTGATTCTGGTCTTTATTGTGCTTTAATAGTCTTTAGAAGTACGAAAACGCACGAAAGTAGCATAATCCCTTTAAATTTACCTCAAACTAGAAATTTTACTGTCTATTCCGACATATTATTATGTGTTTTCTATTTTAGAATTTCAACTTCCAAACGTGATAATTATGGACACACATGGATTTGAAGGCTCAAATTTCGACGATGAGCTGTATACAGTGTTACTGATTATGTAAGCCAAAAAATAAATTCCTGTTTCTGAAACTCAGGATAGTGTATGGCGCTGTATTTGGTTCAAAATAGGATCCAGGTCTGATTGTATAAATTCTTAAAATCGCGTGGTCATTTCTTAGGTAGAAATGACTAATCTTATAAAATTAAAGCATTTTTACGTGTTTTATCTCCTATCTTATTTACTTTTTCAATTTGAGTCTTCTACAACCTAATTTTAACCGTAAACTTTGTAGAACGCAGAACGCGAATTTAACCTTTGGAACTTCATACTGGATCTTGTTCGCTGAATCGTAATCTTTCGACTTTCTTCACTGGATCGTGTTCGCTGAATTGTGATCTTTAGAACTTCTCCACTGGATCGTATTCGCTGAATCGTAATCTTTCGACTTTCTTCATTGGATCGTGTTCGCTGAATCGTAACCTTGAATATTACGGAAATTAAATTAGATCACGTGACATTTTCTGCATATCATTATTATTCGTCATTCATTTCATAAATTGTAATTCTAAACAGTATCTAAAATTTGAATAGAACAAAGTTCACAGGAAATACACGGAGAAATTTAAGTTTTTGGGGTAAGATTTTAGTTTTTGGGGTAATTTATTTCCGGTGGGTTCGTTTTGCCGCATGGTAATATCTGCAATAAAATAAATACCAAGTACAAACGATCAGAACCGTAATATAAAATACATAAATCCATAAAATGAAACAAGACAAGTTCAATAAATAAAATATTGGTCATAACTTGCAAGAGTTATGTCCCTCTACTGCTAGCCTATAACGTCGCCCACGTGCTAGAAAAAATGGTAACTGAAATGTTTGAAAGTAAAAATCTTCTGAATAGTAAATCTGAATTATCAAGCGAGGAGAAGTTTGAAATTCTCATAATCGATGTGCTCTATAATTCGGCAGTGGCTCAAACCCTACTGGTTCCAGATAAGTCCCAGATTGTCCTGGTGGACAAGGTAGAAGCTGGGGTTGATTGGCTCCACACTTCTGTCGGCAGTGGAGACAAAAATAGACGAACCTGCGATTGTTTACAAAAAATGTTCAGATGGATCCACAGGAAAATAAGTATTGCGGAATCTAAAACCGTGACCGGTGAGGTTGTATGGTTGTATTGTCACCATAATAGCGAAAAGTATGTCTCTGTAAAAAGGCACAGTACGAAAGTCTTGAAAATATAGTTTCGATTTCCCTAACAGGTCCAAATAATAAATAAAAAGAAAATCGATGCGGGACAACAGATTGAAATATTTCGTTTCATGTGAAACAAATGGCCATTTCAGATTTTAGAAGCAAACTTTAGTTTCGTTTTACAAGTCGTTTTTGTGCAGTTGGGCAATGCTGCAAAACGAACCCACCGATGTATTTCTCATTAAAAACACGAATAATAATGATATGCAGAAAATGTCACGTGATCTAATTTAAATTCCGTAATATTCAAGGTTACGATTCAGATAACACGATCCAATGAAGAAAGTCAAAGATTAAAATTAGGTTCTAGAAGACTCAAATTGAAAAAGGTAAATAAGATAGGAGATAAAACACGTAAAATACTTTAATTTTATAAGATTAGTCATTTCTACCTAAGAAATGACCACGCGATTTTAAGAATTTATACAATCAGATCTGGATCCTATTTAGAACCAAATACAGCGCGTTTATATTAAGATGTTTAAAAATCATAAGCACACGATGAGCAACTCGAATGCATCATTTCTGATGCGTAGTATAATATATATTTGTTCATATTATGAACATTAATCTTACAAAATTTGATTTGACTTGTGCTTCGATCTTTTAATAAAGGAAAGACGGCTTATTTTGTGAATACAAAATTGCAAGTGATAAAGAACGTGACAAATATTATTATTAAAAAGACAAATAATATGAAGATAATTTACACACTTTTTAATACATTAATCAATTCGTGTTGTCGGGCTTTGAAAACGACACGAACTCTGCAGATTAAGAAGTAAGAATGGTTTGACCTAATTAATTCCCTACCGAAATAAGCTGAACTTGAAATTTCTCATATAAAATCCAATTATTTCGGGGGAGAATGATTGTTTTCCCTTTCAAGAGAAAAATGTATTTAATTGCTAATAATTTATAATCAGTAATTTTAATCAGCTTCTATCTATATAAGGAACGTTGTAATCAATAGAATATCAAAATATTAAGTCCAATGGCGGTTGGTTTAAAATCCACCCACGCTTCTGCTTATGAGTGGACGTCATCACATTTTCAAAGAAAAACGAGAAGTCAAAAGCTTAAAGATGGGTTCCCTTATTTCCATTTATGAAAATGAAAATGCTAATACTTATATGAATAGAAAGTAGATGTGTTCTAATGACTTGGAAAAATATCAGTTTGTCTCACAAGTCAATAATTATTTCATAATTAGCTAAATTAGAAGAGAATTAACACCAGAATTCCAATGAGTGACCCGATCAAGAAAGGTCAAAAAGTCTTTTTTTTTTTGTTTATCCAGACTGTACATATATGGACATTTATGATTGGTTAAAACTCTTTAGTTATATGTAATAAGAACAAAATGATATGATTAAGAATGCATGATAATTCATTAGAAACATCAATTCATCAAAAAGTTTGCTTAATTTGACACTAAAAAATGAGGAAACCCATCTTTAAGAGCTTAAAGGGACATTTTTTGATCAATCGTACCTTTGTCATAGAAACAAAAATTATTTAGCTAAGCCAATCAGTAATTTTAGTATAAGATTTGAACGACATAATATATATATTACAAGTTATAAGTAATATTAGTGTTCACAGTTCAACGTCGAAATTTGAGCCTTCAAATCTATATGTGTCCAAAATTATCCGCGTTTTAAAGTTAGAAAGAGTCTTTTCTTGAAACCCTGTCATATCATAAAGAAAAAACATCTGTAGAAATAAGAAAATAAATTCCTTGTTGAGATATTTTTAAAGGAATTATGCGATTTTTCTGGTACTTCTAAAGACTCTTTACATATATTCAAGACTCAAATCAACTATATTACTGTGTTGTGTTAATCGAAAGGCGAGGAACCACCATTAAGTATTAAGAACAATTAATATTGTAGGACATTTTTATTTGGATATTTCCATAATCAATAGAGGTACGTAATAATGGCACCAAATTGATGCTATTACAATATATAATGTTATTACCACTGACAGTTTGGCTCACACCTTGCACCAACAATATCATTAGGAATTTTAAGTTGTAACATTGTGGTTAAGCAATGTTACGAAAGCACAGGCACAGGCTTGTAGGCGTAACTTCTAGTGATAGAGCAATGGATTATTCATCAATATACATTAATGAGAGTCGGAAACTCTCATTCTTCTCTTGAAAATGACGGCACATTTCTTGACTAATGGTCAAGAAGATAGCTTGCCAGGCAAAGTAATGTACGCCCACTGGCCGCTTTGATTTTGACTAAAATTATTTATCAGTACAGTAACAATCACCAGTATGAAATATTCAACCTTCAGTCATACACTTCTTTTGAACTCTTTAGGGCAATACTGAATGATATTGAGTATGAGTTATTGCCCTTGTTCTTGAAAACATGTTTAATTTTTAGCTCGTGAAAACTCTAGAAGGCAAATATTCAATCTTCAGCGCGGGGCTGAATAATAAAACCAAGTTTTGTCAAAATCCAGCAAGAATCATGCCTTTTAGTGTTTAAGAGCTAAATTTGAAAGAGTTTTCAAGAACAAGGACAATAACTCATACTAAAATTTCTTCTGATTTTCAATAGGGTTCATCGTTTGGTGATTACGAACATTCACACCAAGTTTCATCAAAATCCGTCAAGAATTGTCCCTTTTAGAGTGATTACGAGCTAAAAATTGAACACGTTTTCAATAGCAAGGTCAATAACTCATACTAATTATTTTTCAATTTTTTGATTTTCAATAGGGTTCATCCTTGGGTGATTATGAACACTCACACCAAGTTTTGTCAAAATCCGTCAAGAAGTGTGCCTTCTAGAGTGTTTACGAGCTGTAAAAAAATTTAACGCGTTTTCAAGAACAAGGGCAATAACTCATACTAAATATTTTTCGATTTTTCTGATTTTCAACAGGGTTTATCCTTGGATTATAACAAACACTCATGTCAAGTTTCGTCAATATCCACCAAGAATTATGCCTTCTAGAGTGTTTACGAGCTAAAAATTGAACGCGTTTTCAAGAAACAGGTCAATAACTTATACTAAATATTTTTCGATTCGCCTGATTTTTCAATAGGTTTCATCCTATGGTGATTACGAACACTCATACCAAGTTTTGTCAATTGTGTCTTGTAGACTGACGGATGGACGGACGGACGGACCGACGGACATGGGTGACGGCAATAAACGCCCCCATTTCATGTGGGCGTATAAAAATGATTTAGTTTTGTCAAAATCAACGAACTTTCGAGTTTATATAGGCAGATGCCAAGCATGTGAAAAGCTCTATTTCTGGAACCTATTTTAGATCAGGCTTTAGGCTAAAATATAACTAACTAGATTTGAACGAAAGATCAATGCCTAGCCTAGATAGAGATTGATCAAATTAAATGGCTTCATGATTGGGATTCTTACAAAGGCAAGATCTTTTCTAAATCTATTACAGCCAACGGCTTACAATTTTCTCCGAAGCCTTTCACACACACTCTTATAATTGACAAAAGTTACAATTACATGGTATAAAAATAATAATTACTTCCCATGTCGGCTACTATTATATAAGCGCTATGAAACTATACAACTTCATCATGTCCAGACAAAAGTGTGTGTTTCGTCCAATTTTCTGTGTACAGAATAACGTTGAGAGTTACTAAGTAAATAACTAGTGCACCAACTCTAAAATTGGTTCTTATGAGAAACTCTGATTCAGCAACATGAAGAATCTACATGATAGAAACATTCACCAGTAGATATTATCATTGCTGACCTCTGCTTTCGCCAAATTCCTTTAACGTCATGGTAGGCCTATACTTGACACCATGCTGATGTTCCTAACCAACCTTGGCTAGAGCTATGTATATAATATATAACACAACTATGGTGTAACTAAGGAAAGTAACCAAGGATGGAGCAGTCAATGGAAGCATTTATGACAGACTGTGTCTTTTGTAAAAAGATAATGCATTAGGTTTTCAATAGTTCTTAGTCCATTCAATTTTGATGTGGGATCCATATCGTTGTCGAAAAGTGTGGATCCATTTTTGTTAATGAATAGAGTGGACCAATATTGGTATTGAGAAGAGTGGGCCAATATCGATATTGAGAAGAGTGGACCAATATTGTAATGGAGAAGAGTGGGCCAATATTGTTATTGAGAAGAGTGGGCCAATATCGATATTGAGAAGAGTGGACCAATATTGTAATGGAGAAGAGTGGGCCAATATTGTTATTGAGAAGAGTGGGCCAATATTGTTATGGAGAAGAGTGGACCAAAATTGTTTTTGAGAAGAGTGAACTAATATCGTCATCGAGGAGAGTGGACCAATATTGATATTGATAAGAGTGGACCAATATTGTTATTGAGAAGAGTGGACGAAAACACGACATCCTATAATAATTCGAGAGTTAACTTAGTCCAGTGTATCTGGCCAAAGTTTCTATAGAATCAACTTTCCTGACTGGAACCTTGTTCAAAGTTTCTATAGATCCGGCTTCCCAAGCATACCGCCTGTAATTCAGTCCAAAACTTCTATAGAACCGGCTTCCCGAAATACTACTGTAAGTCAGTAAAAGGTACAGTGTTTATAAGAATCGGCTTTCCTCATAATATGCTGCCTGTAGTTAACCTAGGACAGTGTTTCTACAGAACAGGCTTCCCTAACATAACTTCTGTATCTAGGCCAGTTTGTTTCAAGAGAAACAACTCCCTAACACACAGATACAATGTTTCTTTATGGCTGGCTTTACTAACATACCGTCTTTAATTTAGGCCATTGTCTCTGAAGAACCCATAATCTAGACAAGTGATTGATTCTGGATACACGACTTTCCTAACATACGTTACATTGTATCAGGTGAATATTGCACGGTTTTTTGAATGTGTATGGGTTTGATTGTGGTTCTAACATTAGAATTTTTATCTACCGATTGTAGATGCTACTTTTAATAACCTTACTGTTCCAATTCTTTTAAATCTCGATCTTATTGTCGACAAGGCGATAATCATTTCCGATTTTCTCAAAACTACAGTAACAATTTATATCAAGCTAAATCGAAACTGCTGAAATTTACCACCCTGAAGATGTACATTTAAAAAAACACTGTTAATGTAATTTTTAACATTTTAGCCTCACAAGGCTCTGAGTTATGCCAGTTTTTTTTATTACAAATGGTTAAAAACGATGGTGGCGAACAAATTTTGAAAATGTAACATATTATATTCATAGTCTTTGCCAGTACTTCCATTGAAACGCCAATTATACTTGTGAAATCGTCTGTACATTTGTAGAAAACCCTACCTTTATTTCAATGATCTGTTTACAGATTTAACACGACTGCCATCCGGAACTATAAATCCAGTAACACAAAGCAGACGTATCAAGCTACCCTCTGCTACCAGAAAACATGAACATCAACAATGCATCTGTCATTAACTGTTTAAAAATCTAAGAGAATGCTTGACTGTATCGAAATAAGATTAATATGAACGTTTCCTCATCACTCTCAATAAAATAAATCAATAATATGGCGGCAGGTCGAGAAATCGGCAGACGGGAGTGGATAGTCATTTCCTTGGATTCAATTATTGTCATTAATTCATCAGTTTCGTGAGAAGGCATCGGAAATAGGGCCTTTGGTTTCCTGAACATATTTCGTAATGCTGATTCTAATTATAATCTAAACAATAGTATTGGAAAGGCCCAAAAAACAAAGGCTCATATCTTGTGCATACCCACTATTTCACTCGTATTGATAGTCAATAATACGATGGGATCATAAAGGGACATTCTGCTTTTTTGTAGGTCGAAATGTTTTTGGCTCAAATTTGTGAAAACTTTACAACAAAATCTAGAGGAATGTTTTAACTAAAAAATCAAAAAAACGCCAAAATATTTAAAAACATAACGTAAAGTTTTTAAGTTGGTTATGCATTTTGGAAGATGTTAGAAAATTACTGTACGGACTTGAATAAAACATGTGTCTCCTTTGTATTCTAAAGGTTTTCAGTAATAATATCGAGCCATTATAAAGCCAAACACCAAATCTAGGTCAAACTGTTTAATTAACAATTAGTATTTCAGGTATAATTTACGACGTTTTTGATAATGAAAACTTTTTACATATACTACCCCTTTCAATAATATATTGTTAAAAGATATAATATTTTTGTTTAATATGTTCATAAACTTAATAAAATATTGTAATAATTCAAATCATTACAGAGTAGAGGACAGGAGTTTACAACTAAAAATATATATAAATCAGAAAGTTATTTTAGTAAGATTACATGTATGTAAATAGAATTTCCTATCTACGATTTTTATATTTTTATATATGCAGGTTAACAAATATAGAAATTTGAATCTATTGGGGATATACAAATGCGGGGTATTAAATTCATTTTTAACTAAAACCGACATAAATCATTCATGATTTTAATAGAAATAGATTACAAGATCATACATGATATTGTTTTATTTACGTTCTATGGCAAAGCGCAGGAACAACCAAAGTAAAAGGACGAGAAACTACATGCATTAATTTTGTATTTAAGATTTTAACAAAAGTATTGATAAATAATGGCTGTAGTGAGAGTCGTATCTCCATTCACAAGGATGGTGCAGAAAATCTTCAAGAGTTGTAAAAGATTGATAGTCCGAAACTTTCAATATTAAAATAGGTTACTTAGTAATTGCGCTGTTTTTATCAGTATTCAATTTAGATTGAATTGCGCATTTTTCGGTAGCAATTCAAAATGTTCCAGTATGTAAAATTTAGATCGATCTTGCCAATGACGTTAGTTTCTTAAAGCTAAACAGACAGTCGTGAGGTGCCCTATATTTCTAGATTTGGCAGAAAATTTTCAGGGAAAATATTCAATTCAATTCAATTTGATTCGTAGATCGTCGACAGCAAAATGGACCATTTTGACTCGATATTGAGATAACGCTTAAATTGAACCCTGCATGACAGATTCAGCTTGTAAAAACCACCTTCTGCCACATTTATTTTTTATACGCCCACATTATAATGTGGTCGAATAATATCATCGCCTCTGTCCGCCCGTCTGGCCGTCCGTCCGTCCACTTTTGGCTTGTGAGCACAATAGAGGCTACAGTTTTTATCTGATTTTAATGAAATTTAGCGTGATCATTTGTATTCATGGTTTTGGTCAAGTTCGAATTTGACGATCTTTCGATGAACGGTTTTTGAGTTATTGCCCTTGACTAAGGAAAACGCGTCAAAATTTGTTTGAACAAAATAGAGACTACAGTTTACATCTGATTTTAAAGAAATCTGGTCATCATCTACTACCCTGGTTCCCAAACTGGTGTGTTTTCATCCCCTTGGTTGTGGGACTGGGATGTCGGAGGTGTGGACAAATGGGTGGGGGGGGGGGGGGGGGGGGGGTATATATTATGGTTCCAGTACATCTTGTGCAAAGAAAAGAGCAACAGCATCTTATTGCGGTCGCATGATTATATATCCATTATTCTGTGTGATTATTATTAGTTTGAATAAAAATGATAAAATTTACAATGTCTTGAATGTCCACGTGAGGCGGTGTGAGGAGTTCAAATGATTACTCCAGGGGGGAAAAATGTTGGGAACCATTGATCTATTACAATGAGATCTTGGTCAAATTTCTATTTGACAATTTTTTAATGAATGAAATTTGAGTTATTGCCCCTGACTTAGTAACAATGCATCAAAATTTGTTGGCAGTTTATGTCCAAATTTTATGAATTATTTTGTATTTTATTAAAGTGATACTACGTCTTAGAATTAGCATAAAATTTAAGAATTTTAAACTTGGCGAAGAGCTAGTAGATATACCACGTGTCATGGATAACATAACAGGGTTCTTATTTAATCCGATAAATCCAAAAAACTTTATAATTATCCATAAATATGCAAATAACTATTGAAAAACGCTTAATATCAAAATTAGGTGTTTTTCAATAATTACTTAGTTTTATGAATTTTCCAATTTTCCAGATTTTACAGGGATTCTGTTGTAACTTAATGACACCAGGTAAGCTAACTGAAGAATATATAGGCCTACTCATATTGACCATTTCGAGAACTTAAATTGTATGTTCATTCTAAGACATAGTATCACTTTAAATCAACAATATCTTGTACAAATTAAATTTTTGGTACGATTTGACACAGATTGGTACGAAAGCCTTTTCGGTCCGTCTGAAAAAATAACTTGATTTAACTCTTCAAAATTTGTTCAATTGGTTAAAACGCTTAGTCTTTCTAAGGCAACCAATCTAATTTATTTGTAACCCAATTCTTGATGGAAAAGATCCCTTACTATATTTTTTCCAATGGTATTCATGACAAACACAAACACTTGCCTCAAATTAAGAATAACTGCTAGTGAATTTCAACAAGACAGCGTTTAAAATCCAAAATTTCGAGTTGTGGAATCCGAAATTTCGAGTTGTGGAATCCGAAATTTTGACTTGTGGAATCCGAAATTTCGACTTGTGGAATCCGAAATAATTTCGACACAGAGGTCGCTGGAATCATTAGCACTTTAAATCGATCAAACGGAGCTAAAAAAAAACATACCTTTGTTCGTCGCTACATTTTGTGAAAATGTAATATTTGTAAACGATAAAATGATTTTCTATAAACTGACTTAATAAATTAACACTCAAATTTTTTGGGTTGCATTCTGTTCTGGTTGAAGCACTACATTGATGTGTCGCTTTAAAGAAAACCGGCAACAGCCTGCGGATTTAAATAAAGCAATAACATCTATTGACAGATTTCCAGTTGATTAAGTTTTGCTATAGAAAATATATTACATATTGAATTCTAGAAATATTATTACAAATATCAAACCGCCTACATATGTCCTATTTGTATGACTTCATATTTTAATGGCTTTACAATTCTTCACTTACTACTTTCCTTCCTTGCAAAATTAACGTGTTGTTTTATTGATTTTTTTTTAGTTTAAAGACTCTATAAATACATTTTCTCGTCCATTGGGAGAGGATTTAACCTTTCTTAACAAAATTTAAGATATTATTTTCTCGACAACTATTGTTCATAGATTTAATAATATAGTGTTAAAACACATGGGTTCCATTTAAGACATTGTGAAGGTGTGAGGAAATGAGAGATTTCACATCTTCGTGACAGATCAAGAAACAGACCTTCAAATCAGTCATTGACTGATTGTCAACATGATGGCGACTCTACCTCGAAAATAATTGAGTTCCATAAACGAAAAACAACTACTATTATAACCATGCACTCGATATATAGTAGGTATATTTCCCGTTTTCAAAATGTTAATGATATCAAACAATCATAATCTTAGAGAAATAAATCTAGGGTGTTACCCAAAAAAAGAATCCTTGAATGATTATTGCAAAGTGAACTTCAAGCAAAATATTGCTGTACATTCTATATAGAACATGGTCTTATTCGGTTCGCATCGGCGATGCGATTCAACCCGGAATAACCTAGAGCAGACTAAATAATCATAAGGTTCAAGCTCACTCTAATTGGAAGAGAAACATAGACAATGTCATACAACCATTTGATGGCATCTTATGGGTGTAATTGCAATAAAACCCCTAAAGCTATGTACGGAATAAAATATAAAGTAGCCTAACTTCGCTTCGATTCGAAATCGGACAATGGAGGGGCCCTTGACGAATAAGGACAAAATGAAGCAATGAATATAGGCCTACACCAAGTGATAATATAATATATCTCAAGATATTGAACAAATTTAATCTTCAACTGAAAAGACAGTCAATGATCTATTACACTATAACAATAATATTATTGTTTTAAACCTACGCAAGTTGGCATCATTCATGGATTTTCAGGTTATGTACTGTACTTGTGTATACTCTACTGGTTATTGAACCAATATTGTCACATATTCAACCATATTGTCTGTTAGTAAACTATGTATTATTCTGAAAATTAAGTCCTAACCTATCATAGAATACGAATTGATATATCTCAAAATGTATTTGAATGATATATCATATTTATTTCATGTTATTTGATGTCTATTATTAATTATCATCGGGCACCTGTCAATATTCCTTATCAATCAATCGATATAGAATAGAAAGGCAACCTGACATTACAAATACTTCATTTCCAAACAACCACATCAAAACAACTTCTTGTCTTAAAATATTTATAAAGCACTTACCTCCTTAGATTCCTTGGTGCTGACTTGTTAAATAATTGAATATAGATGGAGAATAAAATAATATAGCGATATAAACAGTAGAAACAAGCGATTTTGTAATGACGTGCTCAGGTAATTAACACAAGGAAATGGTTGCTAGGTTACCAGTGGTTTTAGAATTGTCGATGAACACACGAAGAGACAGCTATCTAGTTTATGTTGATGAAAATCCGGACTGATTCCACAAAAACCGTGTCACCATCAAAGCACTCTAACTACAAAGACTCTTAGGATCAGAAAATGTATGGTCACAAAAGGTTACTGTGCCTCTTGATCAGACTTCAAACAGAATCCTGTCCAGGAAACACTGTGTCACTGTCCAAACAAAACCATGACTGTTATTCTTGCAAATGTTTCCTGACTACAAGTTATTAAAATCCATTTCTGTAGGCAATGTTAACCGCCGATTAAATTTCTGAGAGGCTATGAGAAAAGACGCAGACCGTAAAAATGTGTATACATTCAATTAGCTATATGAATATCTCACGTCTACAATAAATTGAAAACGTCCAGTCCAGTTCAAAATGGTCAGAAGGCCATTTTTTACTTTCTTCAAGGTGTATATTACAACGACATACCGTTTAGATAACCTTATCCCATTGTTCTGTCCTCTTAACACCTTTTTCCTGTTTAACCCTGGGGATATAATGTGTACAAGGATATTACTTGTAGTATATTTTGTTTAATTTCGGGGAAAATCTCGGTGATATTTCTTACATTAAGTTTTACTCCAGAAGGCCTTTCCTAATAAAAAGTCTAGCTCAATGGCCGGTTAAATTGACCACGTTTGTAGATACGAGTTTCACCCCTTTTCCAGAAATAAACAATGCCTTCAATGTATATACAATTGAGTACTCGCTGTTTAACTCCAGAGGACACTATCAAGTGCACTGCAAGATGAGATCGAGCGTTTGGTCCAATATTTTGTATTGCACATTAGATTGGGTATAATGGGCCTTATATCGACACTTGCTTTCTCCGAACCACGGAACTCATTCTATTGTTCTCCACTCTTTAGTTTCAATTGGATCTATATTATCATCAGGTCTTTGCTGGATCAACTCAAATTAACAAATGCATGCTCAAACAGTGGAGCGAAACGCAATGAGGTTGAAGAATGTTTTTATACCTAATTAAGGGGTCATAGTTACGAAGTCTTACAAAAAGTAAGTTTATCTCAATGGTTGATGAAAAGACCGAGTCTTGAAGGCACGAGTTGCGCCCCCTATTTCGTTATTTTTTATAGTTTTTCCAGTAAAAAAATTACAGCAAATGAGTCCTTGTCGGTTTATCAGATAAAACACTTTCCCTCGGGTTTTTATGATATTCAAAACTTTTCCTTTTAAATAACATAAAATCATTTGCTATGTTTTATTCACCATCAGTGAAATCTGAATGGGAGAATAGGTTTCGTGGGCAATATCATTACAGTGATCATTATCAGATCCTAGTAAATATGACCATATCTTTTCCTTCTTTCCTAAAAACAATAAACACTATGTAGATGTGAAAATACGTCAGGCTGCTTTGTCTCTTTCATGCTTCCTTGCCTTTAACCTTTAATTGCGTTATCAGTCTGGATCATTGTTTAAAACATTATAAATAGATCTTTTTTTTCTCAGTTTTTCTTTCCTTGTTATTTAGTAGCGAATCGTATTTCTATTAAAAACGTAATCAGTCAGTTTTTCCCATACTGACGCAGCGTGAATGTAACACAAATCCAAACTGAATAGAATAATCAACAATTTAGTATTGTTTATCAGACATTGCGTCACTTTTCATTACCACAGACATAAGAATAACGAAAATAATAAAAATGTAAATAATAAACTCTTTATTTTATACGTGTCCGAATAAAGTTCATTACATCAATGTATAATATGAAGTAATATATATGTATATAGTCTTTAAAAGTACTAGAAATTGTGAAGATAGCTTGCCAGGCAAGGTAATATACGCCCACTGGCAGCTTTGATTTTAAATAAAAATATTTGGCAGTACAGTAACAATTACCAGTATGAAATATTCAACCTTCAGACATACAGTTGAGTCGATACTGAATAATGTAACTTAAGTTTCATCAAAATCTGTCAAGAATTAGGCCTTCTAGAGTGTTAACTGGCTACAACTTGAACGTGTTTTTAAGAACAAGGGCAATAAAATTTTTTCGATTTTTTCTGATTTTCATTAGGGTTCATCTTTAGGTTTTTATATACACTCACACCGAGTATCGTCCAAATCCATCAAGAATTGTGCCTTCTAGAGTGTTTACATGCTTCAAATTGAACGCATTTTCAAGAACAAGGGCAATAACACATACCAATTATTTTTCGATTTTTCTGATTTTCAATAGGATTCATCCTTAGATGACAACAAACACTCACACCAAGTTTCGTCAAAATCCTTCTTGAGAGTTTACGAGCTAAAAATTGAACGCGTTTTCAAGAAAAGGGCAATAACTCATACTAAATATTATCAATGTGTCCTATTTTCGATAGGGTTCGTCCTTGGGTGATTACAAACAGTCACACAAAGTTTCGTAAAAATCTGTCAAGAATTGTGCCTTCTTGAGTGTTTACAAGGTAAAATTGAACGCGTTTTCAAGAACAAGGGCAATAACTCTAGTAATTATTTTTCTATCTTTCCGATTTTAAAGGGTTCATTCTTGGGTGATAACAAACACTCACACCAAGTTTCATCAACATCCGTCAAGAATTGAGCCTTCTAGAGTGTTTACGAGCGTTTTAAGAACAAGGACAATAACTCATACTAAATACTAAATTTATGTGGGCGTATAAAAATCGCATTATTCCTTATGAAATATTTCAAACTAGGAAATGTACTCTGTATTTCTATATGAGTCTTTTCTATATATAAGTGCATCATAAAATGACGAGTCGTCTTTTTAACTTTTAAATGTAGATAAATCTGGACAGACATGGATTTGAAATTTCGGCGGTGAGCCATGAACACTATTACTGATTAGCTTGGAAGTGTAGATGACTTTTGGCTTAGTAATGCTGGATTGAGAGAAATATGTCAGTCAGCGAGTACAAAGCATAATAATGTACTATATTGACGTACAATTTCTTTGTATTTGTGAGAAAGAATGATTGAAAGGTGAACTTGTTAATCAGGTCAGTAAGGCGACACACCATGAATCATGTCTGATATTGTCAAAAGAAGACGATACTTCCATTTAGTGACAAGCACTTTTAAACGGATTCCAACAGCTTACATTTTCTCAGTCTGATTATATTTACAAATAGTCGAAAGCTCAATTCCAGTACAAGCGTACGCAACGTTTTATGCAATAAGCGCCTTCGGCTCGTCTACCCGACTTAACAGTCCCAGAAGAGCAAGTCACCAGGGATGCAATCTAATTAACAATTTTACTTGAATAAAAAAAACTCATCAAAAGCATTGTATATATTTCATTTAAATGGCGTATTGGACGTTTTGAATGTATTAGAAGTTCTATGCAGCACCCGTTCATAATGCAGACCATATTCACTGAAAATAGCATTATTGTGACTCATTTACCTTGAGATCAGAACTATTGTGGCCATGATCAGAACACTGTGACCAGTGTCCATGCAATGACATTCTATTCCAATTCACATAAAAATGGAATGTGAAGGTGGCTAAAAGCATGACTAATACATACACAAACACAGATATGGATGGAATTTCTTTATCCTATTATTAGCATGGGACAAACAATATTTCTTTATAATTCAACAATAAATCACAGTCAAACTGTATAATTTCATTTTATTTTGGTTTCGGTTCTAAACTCCATAGTATTTGGTACATGATGTACCAGAAAATAAATCATGTATATATAAATGTATATGTATTAAAATTAAAAGGATTCAATTGAGTATTTCCTCAACCAGCTTATAACAGTTGAATTGAAGCTATCAGTATCACCTTCCAAACTTTAATCCGTTTGGATTTTGGCAACATTATAACAATCTCATATTTAAGCATATAAGCATTATAAGGACGTCATTGACTATAACTTCTTGTTGATCACATCCTGGAAGAGATTAGTGAACTTCCAAGGTACATAATATTGTCAAATTGCATGAAAATCAGATGGAGGATTTGAATATTGAAAAGGACCACAGATCAATACCATTCACTCATTAGCTGGTAGAGGTAATATTTAAAGGGTGATTTTGTATCTGTAAATACCATTTAAGTTTGATATTTACATATGAAAGATGTTTTAACAATTAAAGTAGACTTAATTAAAAGTTATCAGTTTATAAATTAATTGAGGTTTTGTGATGATCATAAGGTACCTGACTGGAATCTAGCACAATTAGCAGGTTCTGGCTGAAAAGAAATCGACGGTAGTGGCGACTTATTTTTGTAGCTGAAGGGGCTAAATTAGAGATCCCTGTGTCACAGAATATAGAACTCTTCAAATTTATTTCATTCTTCTACTTTTCATTTCAGCTGCAATGGCCAAAAAAAAGACAGAAAATATCATAGAAGTCCTATGACAATTGCTCCTACATTCATTGTAGGTGTTAAACAAGAAATCAAACATTCATTTACATAACATTTCAATGATATCCTAAAAGCTTTTAAGCAGAACTTTAACATTAAAATACAAAAATAGGAACAAATTATCAAAAGATTTTCGACAGGCAACAGAATATCTGTATAAAATATAAATACTATTGCTACTGTGTATTGACCTCACACTCAGAAAAGCAGGATGTAAAACTCCATTCATTTTTTTGACCTCACACTGTTGTCAGTCAATCCAATTTAACTGAGCATGTGAATCAGGATAATATCTTCAGAACAGTACTTATAGTCTTACAATTACTTTGCATTTATAATATATTCATTTTTACAATTATTAGTTTAACATAAACACATTTCCATCTTATCATTCAACTGAAAATTGTCACAATTAAAAATGTGCCATGTTTATATTTTCATTAAAGTCTATCAGTATTATCTTGAAGCTAATATTCCCTTTCACTTAAAATAATTGGTAAAATTTGATTAACTGACAAATGTGAGACAGTTGATAATAGATAACGAGGGAGAGCTTGCTATGATTTGAGAGAAAAATGTAAACGAAAGAAAGAAGTTTTTATGGAGATTCCATCTCCCTCACTTCATGCTGTATTATTCAAACATAATCCCATCAAACATCATCAAATTTCCAGGTCATAATAAGTTTAAAGTTTACCTGAAGATTGAACAATCATTTTTCAAACTCATCAATTCAGTTCAGAGAGTTATATTACTAGAATAAATGTAATTTATTTAGTAAGTTGTGAAAGATGTATTGAAGGGATAAGAACATGGCCTTGTCTGCAATATTAAAATCCCCATCAAGAAATGACATTGTCAAGCGGAAGTTTTAGGACTTCATTTAGAACTATAAGTTGTAAATGACTCTTGGAAATTTGAAGATGAATCAATTGAACTGAGTAGCTTTAGCTACAAACATTTTTGATAGAAATACACAAAGCACTATAACAGTCTTTGACAATCAGAAAAATTGCCATTTTCCTAATATGGCATCTTTGACGGAATCAACATATTGTGCAGGAACCCAATAAATCCAGAGTCTAGAAGCTTCAGTAGGTCCAAGTTGAATTCCCTGAAATTGAGGAAGTGTTGACAAATGTTTTAAAGTAAAATAATGTATGTGACCTAATCAAATGACAATGATAATCAGATTTAAATAGAATGAAGCATTGTACAATCATTATACTTATTCCTCATTGTAACCATAGCTTACCTCAAGTCCTATTGGTAGAAAGCTAAACTTCCTTTCAGGAAACAGTCCTATTTAGGATTTTGACATAATTCTATCATAATAGTAAACCTACCAATTAACCTACCTAGTAAATCTACCAAGAAGTGTACCAAATAGCTATGTTAGATGGAAAAGAAACCAGCTTAATAATTTAGCTAAGAATTCACTTAACTGTCATAAACTGATTAGTGGAAAGAAAACTCACCATTAAGTGATATTCTTCATGGCCTTTAATAGGTTCACTGACTACAGCTTTTATTGAGTTCATAGGTATTTTATCTGTTCTTTCTAAAAAAAAAAAATGATACATATGAATGATAACTATTAAAAAAAACATTCAGCACCTCATTTTGTAAAGAAAGCTTGCCAGGCAAGGTAATATACGCCCATTGGCAGCTTTGATTTTGAATAAAAATATTTAGCAGTACAGTAACAATCACCAGTATGAAATATTCAACCTTCAGTCATACACTTCTTTTGAACTCTTTAGAGCGATACTGAATAATATTGAGTATGAGTTATTGCCCTTGTTCTTAAAAACGTGTTCAATTTTTAGATCATGAAAACTCTAGAAAGCAATTATACAATCTTCAGCATGGTACTGAATAATAAAACCATGTTTTGTCAATAAGCAAGAATCATGCTTTTTAGTGTTTAAGAGCTAAAATTTGAAAGCGTTTCAAGAACAAGGTCAATAACTCCTATGAAACATATTTTGATTTTTTTGATTTTCAATAGGGTACATCCATGGGTAATAATAAACAATTTAATCAAGTTTCGTCAAAATCTGTCAAGAATTGAGCATTCTAGAATGTTTACGAGCTTAACACAAGGAACAAGAACAAGAACAAGGGCAATAACTCATACTAAATATTTTTCGATTCTTCTGATTTATCAATAGGGTCCATCCTTGGTTGATTTTGAACACTCACACCAAGTTTCGTCAAAATCCATCAAGAATTGTGCCTTCTAGACTATTTACAAGCTACAAATTGAACGCGTTTTCAAGAACAAGGGCAAAAACTCATACTAAATATTTTTCGATTCTTCTGATTTTCAATAGGGTTCATCCTTGGGTGATTACAAACACTCATACCAAGTTTTGTCAAAATCCGTCAAGAATTGTGTCTTGTAGAGTGTTTACGAGCAATTGTGGACGAACGGACAAGGTTGACGTCAACATACGCTCCCCCCCATTTCATGTGGGCGTATAAAAAAAAACTGAAAACATGTTGCAGTCATCATATTTTCAAAATCAAACAATAACTGTGCACAATTATGTTTCTTTTTAGGTTTCTGATTAACTAGGGATTTTAAATGTGTACTGCTTGCAGTACTGAAGAAAAAGACACTGAAAATTCATACAAACATACTTTGCAGTTTAAATTATCAAGTCAAATAACAGAAAAAGAAAAAGCTTTGTCAGTCTCACCTTTTGTTCCAATCCAGAGTTGATCAGATTCTAGTTTAAATGTTAATCTAACCTTACCACCAGATTTATTATACATTCCTGATAAGGGGACATGGGGCAATGGATCTTTACGATTTTTAACACCGGGATTGGCATCTTCAGGTTTGCCATATTTTTCTAAAACTTTTTTGTGTTGCTGAAAATTTGGGAAAATTTACTCAATTTAGAAAATACTTTGATTTTGACATTGATTGATCGTCAACATTGTATAATCTAACACAGGACATTACATTTTAAAAACACTAAAGAGCAGATTGTGTTAATATATATTTAAACCATGCCTCACAAAAATCTAGAAGTGATTGAAGTCCTTTTTCACTAAGAAATGTCTGTTTTGATGATCAAGCCATAATCAGAATTTTTTTTTATTTCAATCACAAATTATTTAAGGTCTAATCAAAACCCAAGGTACAATGAGTATGGAACTTCCATAATTGAAGCTGTTATATAATTTACCTTCATTTCACTTAAAGGTTCTTTACTTGAGGCTTCAGCTTTGGCTGCCTCAGCAAGTTCCTGTTTAGATGGTGCACTGACAGATAATACATCATTTAAAGTGGATCCTACTACCATAATTTTAGCTCCCTTTGTAACATTTAATTGACGTAGTGTGCATTCATCTTTGGCAAGACCCCTGTACATTAGTTTTTGCATAGCATGAGGAACTCCTACAAAAAGAGAAAATATGAGACATCATGTTCATAACACTGTTACATCTTTAAAATTATATGTCAACTTTGAAAATGAAATGAAATGCATTAAGGTGCACCAGCACCAACACGGACTATATGACACCTGCATTTCAGCTCTGAGAACTGTAACATAATACAGGAACAAAATAGAATTTTGAATTAATTTAATGTGATAAACACAGTAATACATGTGTATGGATAACAGCAATACACAACATACTTATAGACAAATATCTTGTAAATGATTTGTAATCAAAATGTGTATAGTAATGTGCTTTTATCTGTAATTTTTACTGTAACAGTGAAGTACCTGTTAATCCTTGTACATGTTGTTTAAGTTGATGTATAGTCTCATCTAAAGAAAAACTAACATCATATTTCGATTTATTATATATAATTTTAAAATCCACTTTCTCAGCATTACTTTTATCTGAAAAATCAAAAACAGAAAAATTGTTTAGAATTCCACTGGTTTAATTTACTTGTTAACATAATACAATTACATGAAAGAACATAAGCTTAAGATAAAGTTCTGAACAAGCTGAATCAAATTTACACATTGATTTATCAGATCTCATCTAGAATGAACAGGGGCAACACCATGCAGTGTGCAATTAGAGGAAGTTTGAAGGTGATAATTATATAGAACTTAAAGGATTTATGCCAAGACATAAAATTTCCCCTTAATTACAATGATTTTTACCTATAATCATTGGCTTAAAAATGTCTCCCAGAACAATATTTTTGACAAAAACCTTAGATTTCTGACTCTGGTCGCTTTCCAGCTGAGAGTTAATTAGGCTAGCAGTCAGTTGATCTATGACGTCATAGACAACACTCGATAAACTGGCAGCCTGCCGTCTATATAGTTGAAGCCTCGCATACATCGATCTTTCACTTTCATTACTGCCATGGAATCCAACGATTTCGACCTAAATATCCAGCCATATCAGTTTGAGCCGCTTGTGGAAGACAAACGATTAGTACTAAAATATTCTGATAGCTCTGGAAGCTCTGACAATTCCGATTTCTCAGATGACGAAACCGATTCTTTTTCTACAAACGCCCGAATCGGTACTACAGATGGTAAGTGGATAGAGTTTAAACAGTCGTCACCATAAACTATCAGGTTGAAAACAATGATAATTAACATTGCAGAAGCTCATTGATATCCATTTCAAAAGAAAATGAAAAAGAAATAAGCATATTGGATATATCTACGGACCGTAGTAGGCCTATTATTATCATCACATAACGTCAGTGTTAATATGGCAGTGCGGGTGAAAAGGTCACTGAGGTGAATACGTAGCCTCTACCATCCAGTCTCTCTTTGTCTATGTACAGCTTCGACGTAGATGGGGTTAGTCTGGACGTCAGACTCAGTCTGTATTTCCGTAAACATTGATTGAATGTGGCCATCGTGTTGAAATACAGATATTACTTATTAAATAGCTGCCTTTGTGGATTGTGTAGAGAAATGCCAACAACATTTGAGAGCCTTTGCTGTAAAGAGGTTAATGACAAAGAACATAAAGCTCTGGAGGAGATGCAGCCATGCATTTGTCAACATTCCAGGTTCAGGGCGAATTGTCTCTATAGAGATGTTCTAGATGTATCGCTAATGGAGTTTGTTGAAGTTGACGGACCCATAGATGACAATGAGCCAATTCACGAGTAAGTACTGGTCATGCCACACAGTTCACCATTTAGTTGTGTGAACGTTTTGCTTATGATTCAATGGCGGAATCAGAATATATGTCTAGTATGACGTCATCAACCGAAGATTCCCGAGTAGTGGTGGAAAATATGCATAATTTGAGAAGCGCTAAATTAGCCTTTTTAAATGAAAAAAAGTGGTAAATAAAAATATTTTTTTCCGGTAAAATCGATACGAATGCGATAATGACAGTGTATCTGAAATATTTCCAACGTAAAAGGGGCAATTTGGCATAAATCCTTTAAATCAAGTCTATACTGGTACCTGTTTCTTGTACAACTATTTTACCAGTGTCTGTTAGACATCCACCAGGATCATTTTCTTGTGTACCAGGTGTGGAGTTATCTTCACTTTCATTAGTAACACATTCTACACTATCAATTTTAATATCTTCTTTATTTGATTCAACATAATCTGCTGTTTCTGCAAGATATTTGATCAAATTAAAAGATTAAATAAATGACAACTTTCTCAATCTCAAACAACATTATCGACAGTGACAGTATGTAATTCACATATTTTTCTCCTTGGGATTTTTTTTTTCATTTATATTTCTATTGACTAATTTATTCATCTGGTTTTTTTTCGATTAAGTCTACGGATATTTCAATCGTAATAGGCTAGTCATTGAGTCAATTACTCAATATATTTTCCGTTTTTCAAAATGTGTATTATACTGAAATGTCTAGACTGTCGGTTGGAGTGTATAAATGTTACTCGGATCAAATTAAGAGTCTGTGGTTTTCGAATCTAACCAAATTATAATTTATCAAAATCCACTATTACGTGGTAAAAAATGTATTACGTCTCAGTTGAACAAATATAGAAAAAAATATTTACCAGATGAAGACGCCATGTTCTATGTTGACAAACAAGATTTTCACCTTCATGACAGAAAATTCATCTAAGGGGAGGTAATTTCAACTTTCTTTTTAAACCTGAAAAAGTGATAGTTGTGGTAAATCATTTAATAGTTTGCCTATCGATAATGTCAGCTCCATTTGGTAATTGTCTTATAGTTATGATGTTTTTCTACAATATGTTATAAGTGAATTCCATCTGCATTTACTGATAAACAGTTATTAGCAGTCAGGTTCACCATTCGTTCGACCAATCGTAGCCAACCAAACGAATATTTTTAACTAGGCAGGCTTAAGCTCATTTACCTTCGAAACTTGAGCCTTCAAATCCATGTGTGTACAAAATCATTCGCGTTCGTAATTTAAATGACGACTCGTCTTTAATTGAGATATAGAAAAGATATGTATAGCCTATTTAGAAATAGAAGTGAATTTTCTAGTTTGATGTAGGCCCTGTATTTAAATGGATTATGCGATATTTCCATGCAGTTCTAGTACTTCTAAAGGTTATTTACATACTCAAGGCCCAAATCAACTCGTTTCATGAATATGTATGCACATACCGAATTTCATTTGATTCCTTCAAACACTCTAGTTTTGTAGGATCCTTATTCGTGGTTTATACTCCACTCCTACTCCAAGTCCATCTATTAGATTATTATTTTCTTTGTGTCTTGATTATCATGTCTGCATTATTGAGCTATCGAGTGCAGGCGTGATGTTCGAGACCTAATTATCGGAAGTTGTAAGTTTTCCTAACTATGAATAAACAAGAAATTGAATTGTCAGACGAATATAAGGACATTATTCAACTGACAATAACTAGATTAGAATCCAGTTTGTCAAATGATCCTATGAACATGTCTAGGCCTAAGCCAAAAAGTGACCTGACCAACCCAAAGATACTAATAAAGATGACATTCCCACATCCCAGTCCCAGATAAGCCTTGTTTAAAGCTTTCTAAATTAGATTTAAGGAAATTTGACGGCGACCTCAGCAAATGGCAAACATTTTGGGATTCCTTCCAGGCCTCAGTACACAACAATCCCTCTGTTTCGGCGATAGATAAATTTAACTATTTGATATCACTTGTAGAAAAATCTGCCTCTGATGCCATCTCCGGATTGTCCCTCACAGCCGCCAATTATGACGAAGCAGTCTCGATACTCCAGCACAGATTTGGTAATAAACAAAAAATTATTAACCGACACATGGAATTGTTATTGGGCTTAGAACCTGTCATTTCTAATCAGAATATTAAAGCACTGCGTCAACTGTATGACACGGTAGAATCTAATGTGAGAAGTTTAGGGTCCTTCGGAATAACTTCAGAAACATATGGAAGTCTCCTAACCTCAGTTTTGATGAACAAGTTACCTCACGATATGCGCCTGACCATTAGCCGAGAAAGTCATAATGATAGTTGGGTATTGGATGAATTATTGGATATCTTTCGCAAGGAATTGGAATCTAGGGAGAGAGCTTCTAGGTCTACTATCATTACCAGTTCTTTACAGTTTTCTGCTCCGAACCAGACTAGAAGATTGAATAACACTAGCAAGAGTGTGTCTACGGCTACAGCCTTACTGACGAATGATTTTTCCAATAGACCCTCCTGCACGTATTGTAGAATGAGTCATCCATCTGCCAGCTGTAAGACAGTGACAAACATTGAAGAAAGAAAGAACTTGTTGAGACGTTATGGGCGCTGTTTTGTCTGCTTAAAGAAGCACCATCTTGCCAGAAATTGCCCTTCTAATATGAAATATTTGAAATGTGGCAGTCGTCATCATATAAGTATATGTACATCCACTTCGCCAAATTCAGATCGGCACAGACCTCCCGATTCCTATCATTCGTCGAATTCAACCTTAAAGCAAGATGCTAGACAGTTTGTACCTCAACAAAGTGGCGGATACAGCTCTTCAAAGAAAAATGATAATTCATCAGTAGCATGTATGTACACTGGCGTGTGTACATCCTTTCCCGTTCTTCTTCAAACAGCCAAACCTTATGTCTACAGTCCTAAATATCCTAATATGGGCATGACTTCGAGAGCCATATTGGATAGCGGTAGCCAGAGATCGTACATTACCACACGATTGAGAGATGCATTGAACTTACCATCCATCGGACGACAAACCATTCGAATTAAAACATTTGGATCAAAGGAAGAAGGTTTGCAAACGGTTGATTTGGTAGATTTGTGTATCAAGACGGACGGTGGAACTGATATGAGTTTAACAGCCTTCGTGGTACCATTTATTTGTGACCCATTACAGAACCAGTTTGTTATACCTGCTTATCGAAAATATGTTCATTTATCCGGACTTTGGTTGGCTGACTATACCACTGGTGAAATCGGACTAGAAATTGATATTCTGATAGGCTCCGACCATTATTGGAATCTAGTTACTGGCAGGATCTTACGGGGGAAGGATGGTCCCCAAGCAATACACACACGAATCGGATGGGTACTCTCTGGACCGATTGTCGGAAATCTACCCAGTGAATTATGATGAAAGTCTTACTGGTCAATTGAAGAAGTTCTGGGACTTGGAGTCTATCGGTATCGGGTCCAAATCCGTCTACGAAGAATTCTTAGAAACCATTACCTTCAAGAAAAATTACTACGAAGTCCATTTACCATGGAAAACGACTCATCCCGTGCTTCCGGATAATTACGAATTGAGTTTAAAGCGTCTCCAAAATCTACAAACGTCTTCAACGCGACCCCGAAATATTCCGAGAATATGATAACGTCATTAGAGATCAGATAAGGAAGGGGATAGTCGAAGTAGTTCATGAGTCTGAAGAAACTAAAATACCTATTGACAACATACACTATATTCCGCATCATCCTGTATTACGAAGAGATAAATCTACGACAAAGCTCAGAATTGATGTATGATGCATCGGCTAGATCAGCCGGACCGTCATTAAATGATAGTGTCTACACCGGACCAATTCTTACCCAAAAAATAATGGACATCATGCTGTGATTTCGTTCATATCGAGTGGCGTTAGCAGGGGACATTGAAAAGGCTTTTCTTATGGTACGAATGGCAGATGGAGATAGGGATGGTTTGAGGTTCCTGTGGATAGATGATATTGAAGGGGATCATAAGATTAATATCTTAAGATTTACTAGGGTAGTTTTCGGCGTCTCATCCAGTCCGTTTTTGCTGAACGCTTCCATAAAACATCATATGGAGAAATTCGAAAATGAAAATCCGGAATTTGTTCGAAAATTCCTCAACTCTATATACGTAGATGATGTCACATATGGATCCGACAGCGTAGATGATGCATACAGCATTTATTTGAAATCGAAGTTACGATTATTGCTCGAAGAAGATGAGACTTATTCAAGAAGCTCACTTGGATCGTACACAACAGGTACTGCATCTGATTCTGATGGTGAACAGAAAATACTAGGTATCAGATGGGACTATGGAAAAGATGAATTGATATTTGATATACAGTATATAGCTTCTGAAGCTAAGACGTTGGAACCAACAAAACGGAACGTTATTAGTCTTGCTTCAAAATTTTACGATCCAGTTGGAATTGTATCACCTGTAATCATCCAGTTCAAACTATTATTTCAAGAACTCTGCAAAGATCAGCGAGACTGGGCCACACCTCTCGATGGAATATTCAAGAAAAAATGGGACAGTCTAGTTGATGGTTTATATTCCATGCAACCAGTATGTTTACCTAGATGTTATCTTTTTGATGTTTACGATGATCCTGTTTCGTACCAACTTATTGGATTTTTTGATGCTTCTCAATCAGCATACGGAGCTGTAGTATATATTCGAATTGTTACTGTCAATGAGACATATATTCGGTTCGTCGCTTCAAAAACGAGAGTCTCGCCAATTGTTAAACAGACGATACCTAGGTTAGAATTGTTATCCGCACTCGTGTTAGCAAGGCTGCTTGACAATATCAAAGTTGCTCTTGATCCCGAAATCGATTTATTGAATTCGTTCTGTTACTCCGATTCTAAGGTTGCTCTGTTTTGGATTACACAGCCTAATAAAGAATGGAAACAGTTTGTCCAAAACCGTGTAGATGAAATTCGAACGTTAATACCAAAAAGTGAAGTTTGCTGGAAACATTGTCCAGGCCAGGATAATCCCGCAGACATTCTTTCAAGGGGAATTAATCCAGGTGAATTAGCTACCAACTCGTTATGGTGGTTTGGACCAGATTGGCTTAAGACTTAACAGGCAGTAGAAACAAGTTTTGACGATATGAACCTAGACGTATTCGAAGACGATTGCCTGTGCGAGATGAAACTTGGTTTTCGGAAACAATTAAACTCGGTTACGTTAGTGGTCGGAAATGAGTTTGTGGGAATTCAAAATATCATTGACTGTAAGGACTTTAGTGATAAGAATAAACTCCTCAGAATCACTGCGTATGTTCTTAAATTTGTTTCACTGTTAAAATCGAAACGCAGTGAAACTAGTCGTTTAGACATCGAACTTTCGATTAGCGATATTGAGCAGTCTGAGAATTTGTGGATAAGGGATGTTCAGAAACTATTAAATGATCGAAAGAACTACAACAGGTTGTGTCACCAATTAAACACGTTTGTTGACGATTCGGGGATAGTAAGATGTGGTGGACGTTTAGATCATTTGGGACTTAGTTATTCTTCAAAATACCCTATATTATTGGACACTGAACACTGGTTTACAACTCTTATTGTACGTGTTTGTCATCAGCCAGTGATGCACGATGGCGTTAAAGCAACACTCGCAGAATTACGATCGAGATTCTGGATCACGCGTGGTAGACAGTTTGTTAGGCGAATTGTATATTCCTGTATTCCCTGTAAACGATTCGGAGCTAAACCCTACCAGACACCACCGACACCGCCCCTTCCCGAATTTAGAGTATCTGAATCATCTGCATTTGCCTACATTGGTTTAGACTATTTAGGGCCTCTGTACATCAAATCTGCTGATGACACGAACTCAA